TGACCAAGACCGATGCAGGCAGAAACATTTGAAGTGAAAAGAGCGGGAACAGGTTTGAAACTGATTCCCGCGCCGCACGGTTTGAATTTCGCTGCAATAAGGGAATGTACCCCTTAGAGTACATGGCTAGTCTAGGTCGTTTCGCATTCCTTTGTATTTCTATATAAACCCAATGTATGCATGCTATTATCATCTCAGTCATTTACATTCACTCTGACCTGAGTTCACTACTTCCGCTGCGACACTACCTGCGATCAACCCTGAACGATCCTCTTCGCTAAGTCACACTTCAGATTGTAACATGGTATGAAACCAAACTGTGAAGCGATTTTTTGTAAGCGGTTAGTAAATATTAATGATCCATGTCTCTTATTCTATAGGTTTAGCATCACGTGCTATGCTCATTTGCTAGCTTGAAGCAATCAAATGCAGGAATGCATATTATGCTGAACAAATCCAGTAATCAGAACGGCATGTATTATGCCTTGTTATTGAGCTCCCATCATCTTTTAGCGTGGTTTTGTCCTTGTGTTTGTCCTCGTCAAAGAATCACGCTGCCCGAATCTCATTGGCTGCCGTACTGATGGATGTGCTGCTCCTTTGGTGTGTGTACTGCTGCCTCGTCAGGCAGTGTGGTTGGTGGAGGTGATTTGTTGTCCCATATGCACGGACACAAGCTCCACCGTCCGAAGAAGCGCGAGGAGGTCTCTTCATGTCGTCTTCTGATCATCAAAATCATCAACTCGGGACTCGGTGTGGTGTACAGTGGTACGAAAGATTATCCTTTCACCTGAAAAGAAAAGTCTCGTGCGAGCATTTTACAGGGGAGGCCTGGAAAGCCAGGAGAGTTGCCTCACGAGACCCAAGAATCTGGTGGCAAGAACCACGCAATCGAATTATCTTCCAACGCATCCCTCCCAACCCACTATCCCCACTCTCTTATCTTTTCTGCAGTGCTGCTTCTCCCTTTCTCATCAGCTCTCGTGCACCACCACTCCCTCGCCCAAAGCGGTACTCCTCTAGTCATCACCTCACCGCATTCTCTCTTACCGTACCTTCCCCTCTTTGCTCCATTCTCCGCGAGCTTCCAGCACGCCCACCCCGTGCGGCGCAACCGGCCACCCTGGCAACGCTCACGCGCCACCAGCTGCACGGCAGTGCTTCGCCATCCTCATTGCTAGCCGTTAGCTGCGGCGGCGGCGCGCGTTCCGGCGGCGGCTGCTTCGGCTGCATACCAGACATGCGTTTCTGCTTCGGAGACAGCGACAGCAGCAGCGATGTCCCGCCTCCGGAGCCAATCGGAGCGGTTCCCGCCAGGACGCCTGTGAGAGACCAGTTTCCGGAGCCTAAGGCGTGGGAGCCGACTCTGGAGGAGTTTCTGAACATCGCGCCGCTGGAAAGCGAGACATGCGGAGCGCAGCTATCTTCGAAGAAGAAGAACCGAAGAACTAAGGTTGTGCGCCGCTCGTGGGGCGGTGGCCCGGGCGATGAGGGCCGGGGAGCGTTCTTCGACCGCAGCTTAAGCGAAAGCCAACCGAGCCGATCTGGCGATCCGCCACCAGCTGCAGCGGGAGAGGAAGGACATGGGGACGGCGAGGTGACTAGCAAGTCGCCATTCCCCATGAAAACGCCTACTAAATCCGCAGCAAGAGTCTCTCCAGCTAATATCCAACCATCCCCGCCCCGTTCTTCAGTCTGCCTGGCCTCTGTTCTGTCGTCATCAGTCGCATCGAGATTCGACACGACAACGACCAGCTCAACCGTGGCTTATCGCTCAAGCTCCGCGTCGGCGCAGGACGCGGGGGAGCCTCGACCCAGCACCGCGAGCAACGGCCGTGGAGCGACCGTCCGAGTGGTGTCGACTGCTGCTGCTGGTGGCTTCAGTGGTGGGTCTAGCGGCACGAGGCTCTTTGCGAGTGGTGGAGCTGCTGCTGGGTCATACTCGTCTTTGTCATACACAACTTCTAGAGGCCTGGCGTCGCAACTGGGGATGCAACGAAGTGTGTCGACAGGGTGTCTGGTTAGCTTTGGCCGTCCAGCCCCAGCGAGTTGTGTTGCTGGGACTGTGATTGGCGAGCTGACAGAGGTTGGGCCATTTCGAAATGTCTCTCCGCCTGCATTACTGCCAGCTTCTCTATCTGGAAAGTCATGAAGTGCCTCTCCTAAGACGCCCAGATGCCCGTTGGCCGGTAATCAGCCAGCATTGTTTGTCTTGTATTGCAGCGTGATCAATTGTTACTCTTATTCCGCCTGGTTGTTAGTCTTTTGCATGGTATTGACGTGCATTCCTGCAGCTTCCAACCTCATTTTCCAAGGACTTGGTCATACATTCTGTAGCTCTACATGCCTTTACTTCAACCCTGAAATGAGCAATGGATGCTTATGTTTCTTAGGAATGTCCCAAAAGTACGTCCCGCCCTTAGTTTACGGTGCGATATAGTGCGTTTAGCGACTTACGGGGGTCTTCAAAGCCCTTCAGTGGGTTTCGGCAGGTAACTGCTTTGAATGCTTCACTGCCAAGGGGTGTTAGGGCGTGTTACATTTTTTATTTTTTTTTTTGCCCGGACTGCCAACCGTCCGGACGATTGTGTGGTTACAAAAATCGTTCAATATCGACAGTGAGTTCGTCAGGGTCTAAACGACGTCGTGTGCTTTGTTTGGCTTATTTACGACATTGCATTGGTCGCCTTGCGACTGGGCGACGTCGCAATCTCGCACGCGTCCGAACAACCGTCCGGACAATCAGCGATTTTAAAAAATGTAACACGCCCTTAAATGGTTTGGCAGGCGCCAAGAAATCCGTAAGATGGCCCCGGGCAACAGTACATAGTAACAAGCGACGGTCTTGCGATTGTTATACGAACGTGAATCTCCAATCACAGAGCTGCTACCTCCAACGTCATTGGCTCAACGACCACCAAACTTGTGCGGAAGTCTTACGAAGCCCGAAATACAGTACATTCTAAAGCCCCCTAACATAGGTACACCTGTTCTCCGGTATTTCCACACCCCCTACCCTCGTTTTTGCCAGACACCCTATACGGCTTGAGGATCGATGAGACGGACACCCTGACACTACGGGTCTATCAGTAAAGAACCGTCAGCGTTCTGGCTATTCGAAACTCAAATTTGTAATCAGAGTGAGCGGGCAAAATTCTCAGTACCTTAAAGCTAGAGTAAAAAACTCTCATTGAGGTCGTGTCTTATACCCTCGAAAGTCCCGCGATCGTTTCGAACTAACTTCGAAATGAGACTTTTTCGAGGGTAGGTACCCCAGAGCGTGAAGATAGGGGGTGTGGAATTATCGCAGGATAGGTGTACCGGGATTCAGGGTCTGTCAAATCTCATGTGGCTCGGGTCGGGTCGACCCAAACCGGTGGTACATCTGGTCTGGAAAGGGTTTCTTCTGCCCGCTGCTTCTTTGCTTGACGGTTGAACGGCAATGAACGGCAACAGAGAAAACCGCTGACCGGCTAACCTGAGATTCATTGGTGGACGAAATTGGTGCGAGAGAATGACTCCAGTGGCCAAAACGGTGATTCACCATCCCTCGCGTGGCCACGAATGACTCGAGTGGCCACCAAATTTGGTGATAATGACTCGAGTGGCCACGCCAGGGGATTCTTGCTGGCTTTTTTTTTCCCATGGCTTACGGCATTACCCTAAGGTGATAAAAAAAAAACCCCATGGCTTACGGCATGCCATTCGGGAGCCTCAACCCTAAAATTTTAGGGTTGAGGCTCCCTCGGATGGCATGCCTTCCGAGCGGGTTTTAGTTTTTTTCTTGCCCGCGGTCACTAATGTGTTCGCGCATTTATGCCCCCGCAGAGCAGTTTATGATCGCTGATATTTTTACCGCGCGCTCATTGGTCGGGCATTGGGCCGAAAATGACCGTGCAACTACTGTTGGTCGTGCATTTTTTACGGTTTTGTGTACAGTGTGTGGGCGAAATTTTCGGGTGCGGAACAGAACGGAACACTACCTAAGGATACCACTCGCACGAATGGGGAATTTCGTGGCTACAAAGCCCCGTAGGGTAATGCGCTAAAGAAAAAAAAGCCAGCAAGAATCCCCTGGCGTGGCCACTCGAGTCATTATCACCAAATTTGGTGGCCACTCGAGTCATTCGTGGCCACGCGAGGGATGGTGAATCACCTTATTGGCCACTGGAGTCATTCTCTCATTTGGTGCCCCATTTCCTGCACGGCTCACACCAGCGCACAGCTGGACATCACCTCACCGCAAACAATGGCGAATGACGTCATTGATTATGAGCAACCAATCTTCGCTGAAGCTGCTCCTAGGGTGGTGTATGCTTTTGGGGGTCCAACTGGAAACTCTCGTGGGGATGGGTGCTTTGGAATCATTTCCCAAGAGTTGTTTCATGCTTTGAAATGTCTTGGGGCAGCGCATCTAGCTGGCTGTACTTGGCAGATTCCCTAGCCTTGGGAGGAACCCTGACCTCAACACGGACGTTTTCGGGATGTGCTGCCAACCACTCAAGTGCCGTGCCGAGGCAGGCAGGCATCAGAATTCGTGGTGTTGTGTGTCCCTCTTCCTCTCAGCCACCCAGCCGAAGCAGTGTCATTGAATCTACCCTTGCACAACCCAAAAAAATCCGAATCAAGTTTTGCATTCCATTCTTCCTGCCCGACTCAACTTCCCATTCCAAGCCGACGAAAGGTAGCGTGCTGCCAGTTCTCTGAGTCCGATTCGAAGGCCAATTCCTCCTCCCCGTCTGATCTTGTAGCAGACGGAACCAGCCCGTGTCAGGTGATTTGCTGCGACCGATAGCTCCTGCTGCGACTGATAGCTTTCCCTGCGTGACTCCCCGTGACGTGACGGGCTTCAGACGATCTCGTTGTGGTCTTCCCTCATCGTCATTGCAACGCCTCTCCGCGTAGCAGTTCGCTCGCCACTGCGTCCGGCTCTCCTGTCGCCCGTCCGTCCGTCCGTCCGTCCGTCTGTTCGTTGTCGCATCGTAGTTCCGCATACCCTCATGGACTCCTCCCAGCAAAGTATTGCTGCCGACGACGAAACCAAGTGTCGACTGGAGGAAGCTCGTGATGGAGAGAACGGCTTGCATGAAGGGGAGAACGGCCAGGCTGAAGAGTTCCACGACGCGGAGGAGCAAAACGGACACCATAAACAAGAGCACGATAGCCACGACAACAATCATCACCACCACCATCACCACCATCACCTCCGGTTACCGTTTCACCACCATCAGCACACGCCCGAAGAGGAGGCAGCTAAGGTGCGAGAAGCTCGCGTTCATTGCCTCGTTGACCGCCGTCCTCCGCCGTACACCTGCATAATCTTCTCCGATCGTGTTCAATTCCCTAGATCTCCACATTCTTCCAATCACTCGGATCGCGCGCGCAACGGCGCCGCCGCATTACCGTTGGCCTCATCTTCCCCCCACCGCTCAACCGCTCCCCGCGCTCCTGTCTCCCCGCGCAGGTGGAAGAGCTCCGCGCGGCCATCGGGCCCGTCGACGGCGCAATCGCGCTCTTCTGCACGGACGCGTGTCTGCGCCGCTACCTGCGCGCGCGCAGCTGGCACGTGAAGAAGGCGGAGAAGATGCTCCTCGAGACCATAGCGTGGCGCCGCGCTTACACACCGGAACGGATCCGCTGGGTAAGCGCGCGGATCCTCTTCTCTCCGGGGCGCCGCTTGTGACTTTGTCTGGACGCGAAGCTTCCTCTAATCGGCCGCTGGGTTGAAAACGGCGATTCCCCCGCTTTTGAAGGATACTAATTCTACTCCACCCCCGACCAGATTGCGATTGCATGGCTGGTTGGAGAGGGCAGGCAAGCCCGCCTTCGGCCCGATTTACGATGTTCCTGGTTCGGCATTCGTGAGGTTCATGCATTGGTCGTGCATTGCTGCGCAGAGTGTCTCGCGCGCATCGCGGGACCAGAGCGCTGCGCCGCCGTACGACATTCAGCGCGCGAACGTCGTCGCCCTCCCTCCCGTCGCACTTTCGATCCGTCGAATTCGGCTCGCTCTAATAACAGATCCTGTCGCACCGTATCTCCTTCGTCTGTGCAGGCTGACGTGGCGAAAGAGTCGGAGACGGGCAAGGTGTACCGCGCGCCTTTCACGGACAAACTCGGGCGACCCGTACTCGTCCTGTGCCCTGGCAAACAGGTCAGTGCGGGGTGGGGGGGAAGTGGAAAAGGGAGAAGCGGGATGAGGAGAGGGAAAGTGAAGGTTATGTTTCGAAAGAGCGGGGGAAGGAAGGGGGGGGGGGGGGTGGAGGAGCAGATAGGCGAGGGAGGACGGTAGTTAACTCTTTAAACGACTTGCAAGCTTATATAACTCAAAGTAACCCAGTTCCCTCCCCTTCCTTCCTCCCTCATCCCTCCTCCCCCTCCCTCCCTCCCCGGCCCCCCCTCCACCCCTCTCACTCTCCCTGTCGCGTCTTTCTCTCCCGTATTTCTCTCTCAAACGGTCCTTCTCGCTGAATATAATTAACGGTCCTTTTCATCTCGCTCTCCGACTCTCCCGTCATTGTGAGGATCATCGAATCCCTCTGGGCTCCTCTTTCCCTTTCCCTCTCTCCCTCACCCACTCCTCGCAACCTCCTCCTCCTACCCCCAACCCCCATCCCCATTCCGCCTCCCGTTTCTCCCCTTCCACTCCCCCCTCCACCCACCCCCCTCCACCGCTCTCCCATGCAGAACACGGACGACCACGAGGGCAACACTCGGCAGATGGTGTACTGCATGGAGAACGAACGCAGTGCAGAGCCTGCCGGAGGGCTTTCGAGACGTCTCGAAAATCCTCATTCCGCCTCCGTCTCCTCTCCCCTCTTCTCAGAACACGGACGACCACGAGGGCAACATCCGGCAGATGGTGTACTGCATGGAGAACGCGGTGCAGAGCCTGCCAGAGGGCGTGGAGCAGATGGTGTGGATCATCGACTACAAGGGCTTCACGCTGCGCAAGTCCCCGCCCATGAAGACGTCCCGCGAGGTGCTGCACATCCTGCAGAACCACTACCCCGAGCGGCTTGGAGCGGCCATTCTCTTTGACCCGCCGTACATCTTTCAAGGGCTCTGGAAGGTGGGTGGACGAAGGGTGGGGTCCGGTGGGGAATGGGAGAAGGGGCTGTGCTGTGGATGCTGAGGGTTGTGAGGAGGGAGGGAAGAGGGGGGAGGGATGGGTGGATGGAGGGATGGATAAAAAAAGGGTGGGTGAGCCAGTGTGGGACCAGCATTCAGAAGGATGGAGGATGGAGGGCGTGATGGAAGTGGTGTAAAACATTTTCCTCGTCATCCGTAACCTCTGGCATCCCACTGCAACCTGCTCTTTCCACTCTTCCCCAACTCATTCCACCTAGCCCTATCTTATTCCACCCCTTCCCTTCCCGTCAGGTGATTCGCCCGTTCATTGACCCAGTGACCTTTCAGAAAATCAAGTTTGTGTACCGAAAGAGTGCGCCGTCCCTTAAAGTAATGGAGGAGCTTTTTGACACCTCACTGCTTGACCCTGCACTGGGAGGGAAAGGGGATGCCTATGTGTATGACCATGTGGCATACTCCTCTCGCATGGAGGCTGATGATGAGCGGACGGCCAAATTGTGGGAGCTTGATGGGATTAATGGGGCTGCCAGTGGTTCAGAAACCGCTGCAGTCTAAACAACTAGCTGCTTGAAACAGCCTCTGCTCACCTTTTGTCATTACTACCTTACGTAAGGGATCTCAGTGGGTCCCCCAATGAATGAGCACGTGTGCAATCATATTAATATAAATTTGAACTGTTGTGTGCACATATCCTTCTTGTTCTAGGGTTGGGCTTCAGGTTGAAGTATATTTGGAAGCCACACTAGTTAGCAAGAGTCCACACAGAATTGAAGTCCTTCAAAGTAGTGAAAACACATTAGCTATTTGTGTGCACAGGAATGTGTCAACCTCTACCTTTATTCAACCATTTTGCATTCAACCATTTTGCAGCCAGCTATACTCCCTCCAACCGCATCCAGGGGGGGGAGTGTTGGCAGATCTTTTGGAGCAGAAGCCAATCAGATGTGGGCCCGAATGCAGGTGACGAAGATGTGTGCTGTGAGTAGGACTGGAAGAACGCTGAGGTGGCTTTGTTCGCAGGCCTTGGCACAACGTAACCGCATTCCTGTGTGCGAGAATCGTCGCCAGAATTCGTGCAACCCTGGTTTCTCCTCTCTTTTGGCACTTGGCTGTTTGGCTCTCTCTCGCCTCACCCTCGTTCCCCCAACAGCACTTTCGCATCTTCAGAGGTTGGATCTGTGCTAATCTGTAATGGTCTGTCTTGTCCGAGCCTAGCGAGTGTCGCTGGCAACTGCTGCTAAGAATACCTCTGTTCTTGATTCCGTTAGTGGAATTTTCCTGTAAATCGTCACGGACGGGTGAAGTTCCCAGGTCCTAGTTCTGGTTTCGCAAAAAATTCAGTAGTCGGAACATCATGGCGGCTGCTCCTCTTCGGAAGCCTGTTTTTACGAAGATCGACCAGCTACGGCCAGGGACAACTGGTCACAACCTAACAGTCAAGGTTGTGAATTCTAAAATTGTCCTCCAAAGGCCCAGGCAAGAGGGGACCCAGATGCGGAGTATGCGGATAGCTGAATGCATTGTAGGAGACGAGACGGGGGTGATTGTCTTCACCGCACGGAATGAGCAAGGTGAGGTGTATTTTCTCCGATCCCGGCTCTCTTTGTTGTGATCAAATGCTCGTTAATGCTTTCAATTATGTCACCGTTCTTCCCAACATTGCTCGAACTAGTAGTTCCCAGAAACGTATCCTCCTCCAGATCATTGATTTTCCTCCATGCAATTTGCACGATATGCGAACCTGTCGACGACGTGCCGCTTTGACGGTTTTGAGTTCAGTCGTTGTCTCCTGGGGACGAAGTTAGTTGTGACCAATACCCAGTCTTCTGTTGTTAATATGAGATGTGGCTTATTACCGAGTCGAGGGCTCAAGTCATCGTGGTTCCTTGCGGATCAGTTTTGGTACGGCCTTCTTAAAGGAACAAGCTGTTACTGGTATCAGCTCAGCAGCCATGGCTGAGAATTTGATTTCTATCAAACCCTATCATTAAATCTTGCTGTTCTTTTGTCGGTGTCAATGCCTTGCCCTTTCAGTGGACGTTCTTAAGGAGGGCGCAACAGTAAATCTCCGCAACGCAAAGATTGACATGTTTCGTGGCTCCATGCGCCTTGCCGTGGACAAGTGGGGTCTTGTGGAGCCCACAGAAGACGCATCCTTTAAGCCTAAGGAGGACAATAACCTCTCTCTTGTTGAATACGAGCTGGTCAACGTTGTTGATGAATAGTGTCAGAAGACACCATGTGAAATGTAGTCAGAACTTCTCAATGTTTCTTTTGTTCTTTCCTAGGTAATTTTTGGCTGGCCCTCTCTGAATCAGCTGTCCATGTTGTAAAACTAATTGCATCAGGTCAGAACTTTGTTCTCAAACCATGAGTGGAGGAGGCTGTCAAATGTTGTAGCCTATAGTGAGGTTTGTCTTAGGGGGTACAAAACTTAGGGTTAGCTATATGTACCCCAACCAACATCAATGCATCATCCATTCTTCATTCTGACATGGTATCAGTTAGGTTAGGATCCTGTGGGATCCCGTTCCTCCGTTCTCCGTTCGAGCCTCCCGAGCCTGATCCTAGCTCTCATTCGTCCCGGTTCCGTTGTTACCGCGCGTAGTGCCGCGCCTAGCGCCACTCCTAGCGTCGCGTCCTGCCCGCCCTTTCCCCCTCGTCGCGTCCCTTTCCCCCCGTCGCGTCGCGCCCTTTCCCCCCAGTCGAGTCGCGCCCTTTTCCCCCCGTCGCGTCGCGCTCTTTCCCCCCGTCGCGTCGCGCCCTTTCCCCCCGTCGCGTCGCGCCCTTTCCCCCCGTCACGTCGCCCTGCCCCGTCCCGTCGCCCTGCCCCGTCGCGTCGCCCTGCCCCGTCGCGTCGCCCTTCCCCGTCCCGTCGCCCTGCCCCGTCGCGTCGCCCTGCCCCGTCGCGTCGCCCTTCCCCGTCCCGTCGCCCTGCCCCGTCGCGTCGCCCTGCCCCGTCGCGTCGCCCTGCCCCGTCGCGTCGCCCTGCCCTTTCCCCCGTCCCGTCGACCCTACGCCCTGGCCCGTCGCCCTAGCCCGTTCTTCCGCTGCGACTAAGTCCCCCCCCCCCCCACCTGAACCCTAATTTGCCTCTTACCTCCTGCTGTTACTCGCCTGCTCGTTCGCGTTAGTTCTCGCTATGGCGACTCCGCGAGTTCTTCGTTTCGACGCTGACGGTAGACCTCTTGACTTTTCCGTCTGGCTTCTTCGCGCTCGCCGTCTGTTAGAGAGTCAAGTCCAGGGGGGCGAGACCCTCTGGTCGCACGCTACTGGTGACCTCCCCGAGCCCCCCGAGCCTGCCGCTTTAGGTCCTGCCCCTGACGATGCTGCTACGGCTCGCTTTGCCCGTCAGCGCGCTGACAGGACGGCTTGGACGTCGCGTGACGCTGCGGCCTGCATCGCACTCAGCAGCCTCCTCCCTGAGTCAGAGGAGGTCCACTTCACTCAGGTTCGCACCGCTGCTGCGTACCTCACTGCGATTAAGGCCCGCTACTCTACTCCCGCTACTGTCTCTCTTGGCCGTCTTTTCCTCCCGTTCCTGTTTCCTGATCTCGCCTCGTTTGAGCGCTCTGCTGACTTGATCGCTCACCTCCGCTCGCTCGACGCTAGTTACCGCGCTGCTTGCACTGAGGCACAGCTTGCACTGCTTCCTCCCCCTATGGCGATTACTATCTATTTCATCGCCACTAGCCTCCCTGACCGCCTTGCCTCCGTTCGCGACGCGCTTCTGCTGAAGCACCCTAGTGAGCTCACCGTCGATGTCCTTGAGTCTACACTCAAGGACGTCGAGAGCAACCTTCGCTCGGTAGCCGCTGCCTCTGGTGCTGTGCCCCCCCCACTCTTCCACGGGTGCACAGTCCCGCAGTTACCCACCTTTACTGCCTCACTTGCCACTGCCGCTACTGACGCGACTGCAGCTGCTGTTACGACTGCGTCGCGGTCCCGCGGTAGGAGTGGCAAGAAAGGCGGTTCTGGTGGTGGTAGTGGAGGTGGAGGCGGAGGTAGTGGAGGTGGCGTTGCGCCTGGCGGCGGTGGAGGTTCAGGGCCTGGAGAGGCGCCTCGTGCAGTGACTGGTGACTCCACTGCGCCTGCTAGTGGTGGCGACGCCCGAGTTCGTCAGTCGCCTCCTGTACTTCCTGCCCCGGTTGGTGGAGCAGCGGCGTGGTACCAGGCTCAGCGTCAGCAGCAGCTTCTGCAGCACCAGCAGCCCCTCTCCTCCCAGCAGCCTCAGCAGCAGCAGCGGCAGCAGCTGGCTCCAGGGTCGGGGCTGCGTCAGACCCAGCGTGGTGCTGCTTACACTCCCTGCACCTACCAGGTTCTGACAGGCCCTCGTCGTGGCCACCCTTGTGGCCGGTTTCACCCCCCTGGTCAGTGCTTTGCTCAGCTCACTGACACGGTTCGTTTGGTCTACGGGGTTGGTGCTCCTGCCCCTGACTGGCTGCCTCTTGTTCAGCGCTACGGCTCCGCTCTGTGGGGCATGTCTGCTGAGCAGTTAGTTGATCTGATTGGTACTCCCCATGCTATGTATGCTGTTGTTGACTCTAGTGTTTCTGACTCTGCTTACTCTGGTGTTGTTAGCTTAGGTGCTAGCCTTGCTCAGTTGCCTGTTGCTAGTGTAGGTTCTTGTGTAGACTCTAGTCCAGCGGCTACCTCAGAGGACGGTTCGCTGTCGTTCACGCTGGACTCTGGAGCCTCTCACTGCTTCTTTCGTGACAGCACGACACTTACGCCTCTTCCTGCGCCTGTTTCTGTGGCGCTGGCTGATCCCACTTCGGGACCAGTCACCGCGCGTCACACTACCACCTTGCCGTGTCCGGCTGCTCCTTCTGGGTCTCTCACTGGGTTTCACGTCCCCTCGTTCTCCCGGAACTTGGTGGGCGTGCGACCCCTCGTGAGTCAGCACGTGGGTGTGTGGTTTGAGCCTTCTGGAGAGACTGCGGTGTGTGTTGACGGGGACTCTTACCAGCCCCTCGCCACTTTTGCTGCTGAGCCGGGCTCCGGTCTCTACACTCTTCACACTGGCCCGCGCGCTCAGCAGCGACTGCAGCAGCAGCAGCAGCCGCAGCAGCAGCAGCAGCAGCAGCAGCCGCAGCAGCAGCAGCGGCAGCAGCCGCAGCCGCAGCCACAGCGGCCGCCGTCGCAGCAGCCACTCCTCCCAGTTCCTGTCCCTCCCCCTAGTCTCCTCCCTGCGTCTCACCAGGTGGTTCCGTCCCCTCAGGTTGTCGCGTCCAGTCCAGTCGCTGCGTCTTGCTCCTGTCGGTCGCTTGCCCACCCCACCGTTCTGTGGCACCACCGGATGGGACACCCTTCTCTTCCACGTCTGCGTGCTATGTCTAGTCAGCGTCTGGTCTTAGGTCTCCCGCGTGTCTTGCCGTCGCTGCCGCCGTCCCTTGCACCACCGTGCGGTCCTTGCGTCGAGGGTAGGCTGCGTGCCACCCCTCACTCCTCCTCCCTTCGTCCGGCCACCGAGCCTTTTGAGACGCTGCACTTGGACGTCTGGGGCCCCTCTCCTCGCCCTGGCCCTGAGCGTGAGCGTTTCTTTTTGGTGGTCGTTGACGACTACTCCCGCTACACCACAGTGTTCCCCCTGGCGAGGAAGTCTGAGGTGACTTCTACGCTGATCAGGTGGTTGCTTACCACCCAGGACACTCGTGGTCGTCGTGTCAGCTGTCTCCACTCCGACCGCGGGGGCGAGTTTCGCTCCGGCATTCTCGCTGGATTCTGTCGCGAACAGGGCATTCGTCAGTCCTGGACGCTTCCGGAGTCCCCACAGCAGAATGGGGTTGCTGAGCGTCGCATAGGCCTGGTCATGGAGATTGCCCGCACCTCCTTGACTCACGCCCGTGCCCCCCATTTCCTGTGGCCATACGCAGTCAGGTACGCCGCGCACCAGCTGAACCTCTGGCCACGCGTCTCTCAACCGGAGGCTTCACCGACCAGTCTTTGGACAGGGTCCCCTGGTGTCGCGTCGAGGTTTCGTGTCTGGGGGTGCTTGGCTCTTGTCCGCGACACCTCCGCGGACAAGCTCTCGCCTCGCGCCGTTCCTTGTGTCTTCCTTGGTTTCCCTGAGGACTCCTCTGACTTCACCTTTTACCACCCTCCCTCTCACCGGTTCTTTGACTCCCGTGACGTCCGTTTCGAGGAGTCCACCCCGTACTACGTCAGGTACCCCAGTCGAGGTCTCCCGGTTCCTCCTCCCCCCCTCTTCCTGACAGCCGCTCCCCCGCCTGCTCCCCCGGTACAGCCTCCCCCCCTGGTCCAGCCCCGTCTGGTGTGTCTCAGGCTAGCCCTCCCCCTTCGGTAGCCCCCCCTGTACAGCCTCCCTCCCCACAGTCTTCCTCACCGCCTCCTGTAGGTGCTCCCTCTCGGGAGGTTGGTCCTGCGACTGTCCCTGTACAGGTCTCTGGTTCTGGGGGTGCTGGAGTTGGAGCTGAGCCGCGGGTTGCAGAGGACTCTTGTCTTCCGGGGGCTGGTACTGGTCGTGCGGAGTCTGGGGGTGCTGGTGCGGAGTCTGGGGGTGCTGCGTCTGGGGGTGAGGGTGTTCCTTCGGTTTCTGGAGAGCCTGGGTCTGGAGCTGGTGTTGGTGCTGCCTCTGGGGGTGGTGTGCTTGGTGCTTCGGAGGTCGACTCTGGGGCTGCCGCTGCCCCGGACACTACTCCTTCCCCCCACCCCTACCCGACCAGGTTCCAGGCTCGTGTTCGCCGTGCTCGTGAGGAGCAGCTGGAGTTGGAGAGAGAGGAGAGAGAGTTGCAGCGGCTCGAGGAGCAGGAGCGACAGCAGCAGGGGCAGCAGCCGCTGGAGCAGCAGCAGCCGCAGCAGCCGCAGCAGCAGCAGTTGCCGTCTCCTCCTCCTGTCTCGGGTCTTCGGACCCTTGGTCTCCCCTCTCCCTCTCCTTCCTCCTCCCCCTCTCCTCCCGTCTCTGGTCCTCCGCTTCCTCCTCCTGACCCCTCTCCCGCTGTTTTCCCTCGTTCTCAGTCTTCGTTGTCCCCTCCTCCTTCTCAGACTTGGGCCTCTCGTCGCTCCCCTCGTGCTCGTCCCTCGTCTCCTGTTCCCTTCACTGACCTTCGTACTGCCTTACTTCGTTCTAGTCCACCTCGTCCGTCTCCGTCTGTGCTTCCGTCTCCTCCTGAGTCGGCTCTCACTGCGTCGCTCCCTACTCCTGTCACTGACTACTACCGCACGTACCGTCCTCTTCTCTCTCGTGTTCTCGCCTCGCTTGTTACTCACCCTCGTGCCTCTGTGTCCTCTGTGTCCGCTCTTACTGCCGCAGTCACTGAGTTTGCCTCTACCCGCCGCCTTGACTTCGCCACCGCGCTTGTGGCTGCTCCTCCTTCCAGTCCTCTGGCCGTCGGGGGTGTGTCTGCCCTTGGCTGTGACGCCCTAGAGGACAGGCAGTTTGAGCTAGAGTTCCTGGCGGCCGCTTCCCCTCATCTCTGTGCCATGCTCCTCGCCCCTGAGGGTGACCCCGACGCCCTTGACATTCCGACTCCTCGCACTTACGCTGAGGCAGTGTCAGGGCCTTGGGCCTCTCAGTGGAGAGCTGCCATGGACGCAGAGATGGCCTCCTACAGATCCACAGGCACCTACGTCGATGAGGTTCCCCCTCCTGGGGCGAACGTAGTCGATGGCATGTAAATCTACAGGGTGAAGCGGCCACTGGGATCTCCTCCGGTCTTCAAGGCGCGCTACGTGGCTAGAGGTTTCAGTCAGCGCGAGGGAGTTGACTTCTTTCAGACCTTCGCGCCCACCCCGAAGATGACCACTCTTCGGGTGTTACTGCACGTAGCAGCACAGAGAGACTACGAGTTACACTCTCTCGACTTCTCCACTGCGTTTGTTCAGGGTAGCCTACACGAGGAGGTCTGGCTGCGTCGTCCCTCTGCCTTCACTGGCACTTTCCCTCCTGGGACCCAGTGGAGGCTGAGGCGACCGGTCTACGGTCTCCGTCAGGCTCCTCGTGAGTGGCACGACACCCTTCGTTCTACTCTCGCTGACCTTGGTTTTCAGCCGTCGTTTGCCGACCCGTCGCTGTTCGTTCGTCGTGGCTCTACACCATTCTTTGTTCTAGTCTACGTCGACGACCTGGTTTTCGCCACTGCTGACAGGGTTGCCTTGGCAGACGTGAAGTCCGAACTGCAGAAGAGACACACCTGCACTGACCTTGGTGAGCTGCGTCACTACCTTGGCCTGCAGATCACCAGGGACAGAGCTGCTCGCACCATTACACTTTCACAGTCACACATGGTGCAGCAGGTCCTTCAGCGGTTCGAGCTTCAGCACTCCACAGTACAGCGCACACCTCTTGCTGTTGACCACAGACTCACTGGACCCTTTCCTGACGAGCCGTTCGAGCCTAGTGGTCCCTACGCAGAGCTTGTGGGTTGCCTCATGTACCTGATGACTTGTACTCGCCCGGACCTCGCCTTCCCTCTCAGCGTTCTTGCGCGCTTTGTTGCGCCAGGGAGACACCGTCCTGTTCACTGGACAGCAGCTGTGAGGGTGGCGAAGTACCTAGCGACGACGTCAGGCGTGGGGCTAGTTCTTGGAGGGCAGCAGTCTGTCGTACTTACTGGTCACTGTGACTCCTCTTACGCTGACGACGCTGAGACTCACAGGTCTACTCAGGGGTACTGTTTCAGCCTGGGTTCTGGAGCTGTTTCCTGGCGGTCCACGCGCTCCTCTTCGGTCTCGACCTCTACAGCTGAGGCTGAGATCTACGCTGGTGCCATGGCGGCACAGGAGCTCCGTTGGTTGACCTTCTTGCTCACCGACCTTGGTGAGCGGTCGAGCTCTGCACCGACCTTGTTCACTGACAACAAGGCGTCTATTCTCCTTTGTCGAGAGCCACGACTGGAGAGCAGAGTGAAGCACATTCACGTCAGGTACTTTCTTCTGCGAGAGTTGCAGAGGCGTGGACAGGCTCGCTTTGAGTTTGTGGAGTCCGAGGCCAACACTGCAGACATCTTCACCAAGGCGCTTCCGCCTTGTGACCACCAGAGGTGCTGTGTGCAGTTAGGCCTTGTTGACACTGGTTCTCGTGTTGCTTAGACTTGAGTGTACTGTTTACTTTGCTTTCTATATACCTCTGTTACTTCTTGGACTGGCCTTGTGGCCACTGTTGTTTGTGCTCAGACTGTGTGGTGACGTTGTGATCCACCCTGAGCTTCGTTTCTTGGACTGGTCTTGTGACCGTACTCGTGTGGTTCTGCTAGACACCCCTCACTTAGGCTATGGGGGTGTGTCAAATGTTGTAGCCTATAGTGAGGTTTGTCTTAGGGGGTACAAAACTTAGGGTTAGCTATATGTACCCCAACCAACATCAATGCATCATCCATTCTTCATTCTGACAATCTGGTCATAAAGGCGTATGCAATCAATGATCATCTATAGTGCACATCTGTTTAATCTTCATTATATATATAAACTCCTTGTGATGCAACCTGTTGTTATGCTCAACAAGAAGGTTACATGTCGAATGTGGACTTGGTGGATCGGGAGAGGGACGATGTCGAGGTGGAGGGCGGGCCTCTTTGGGTGGAGGCCCCCTACATGGTGGATGTGCAGATGTGACTTGGGGGGGGAGGGGGGGGGGGGGGGGGGGCCGAGGGGGAATGGGGTGCGAGATGGGACGTCTGGTAGGGGATCCTGGTTGGGTTTTTTTTTTTATGGAGTATTTTTATGGGGCTTTTTATGGGTGTTGCGTTTGAGTTGTTTCTGGTGTCTTTCTTTCCCTTTTCCTTCTCCCTCTTTCCCTTTTCCTCTTTCTATCCATACGCGATATTGGTTGTACGTTCGAGGATGTTCGATGCGTTGCATGTCAAACAAAGTAATAAAGTTTGATACTAAAGAAGGTTTGTATCCATGAATGCAACCAAAATTAACCTTGTACTAAGCATCGGTTCGTTCTTGAATAAATCCTGGTGCACTTTCTTGGCGCTTCATAACCGAATTCGCCATAAGCCATTTACACCTAGCAAAGGCGTGGTCTGGACCTTTTCCCCGTTTTCAGGATATTCCACACCTTGAGGGGCAAACTTCGAGCCAGATGAGGTTGTGGTCTGATCTCGTCAGACGAATTGCCAATGGTTTTATTCGTTCCTTGAATTGCTTCGCCCCGTCATCGAGTCTGTTCTGGCGCGAACGAAATGCACTGAGCACTGTTAGCATGCTCGTGTGACGTGGAGTTATCCAGTAACGTGGCAAGCATGTAGTGGAAACCAAACCTGGAGGTCGACATGATTCGCCTGGACCTGCTGACCCCTTCAGCAGCCTTCGATATTCTTGCGGATTTTCGCTGTGTTTGCCACAAATTCTGGGACGCGATTCGAAGAAATGCGGCGCGAGATGTCAGGTCTGCTGCAGAGACTTGACTGAAATGTATACAGCTCGTATCTTTTCAGTATTCTAACCGCGGGCATTCAAATTGTTATGCCTTCTTGTCGCTTGTCTTGGTGTGATTCGGCCTAGAATTGGTCATAGAAACAGTGATTTTGTGTGAGTGATGCACATTCCATTTTCCAAAACTATTAGGAAAAGAATGACAAGGGCTGGTAGAAATATGTTCGAATCGCGAATGTGAGGCTGAAACAGCGACTGATCCATAATTCCACCCCAGCCACCCTCAAACGCCTTTCATTCACCCAATTATGCACCCTGTCTCCCTTCCCAATTCCCAGGGCAGACCGCACTTGCTCTCTCCGTTCTGTTCACTTCAGGCTGCCCCAAGGTTCCATCGGTTTGCAGTGCGAGCATTCTTGTCACTTCCCAACCCAAAGTCCAAACCTGTTCCAAACTATGGACCCTGTCACTCGACCCTGTCACATTGCACAAGCCTCATGTGTTCTTCACCCTTCCAGAAACGGAGACACGCTTCACGTGCAGGCCTCTGCTACTATTCGGCGGGAATACAGTACACAAAAGCATTCAAGCTAAGGCAACATCACTGGAGCTGAAGGATAGTCGTCATCCTGTTCCTACCTGCACTTCGCTTGCAAGCACTTGAGAGGAAAAAGAAAAAAAAAATCATTCTCCGATTTGCAGTTTTCAACTTTCTCTCCCTGCCCTGTTCCGTCTCCTCTCCCAGGCGGCCGCACCTACGTTGTGTGCTGCCGCATTAGCCGCGTTCTCCTCCCATCCCTTCGTCACGCGTGCCACCCCTGATCCGTGAAATGCTCCTCGCCGAATCGCGTACCCTCTTTCGCGAAAGTATCACACCTGAGGCAGCACGCGCGGAGCTCGTTGCGCGCCCCGTAACAGGCTGTTAGTGCAGCTGCAGCATCAACCATGTGTCAAGGGCACTACCACCCAAGCACCGCTGGCTGCGACCCGTTATGCCTCCCCCTCGGGACCGCCGCGACTCGTCCAACAACTACTGCAGCGGCAGCAACTGCAGGAACAGCAACAGGAGCATCACCAACCCCTGACTTCGAATCAAGGCGCTCCGTTAAGCGCACCAAGCGGACGTGGGCAGCAGTAGCGGAGGGAAGCGGCGCCAAGCTTTCTGCGCCGGCTCCGCGAAGCTTATCACCTGGCGCGGGGGCGCCGTTGCGCGGCCACCAAGCCGCGCCGCTCATCCAGATACCATCGCTGTGGCCTCTGCCAGCAACGGTAACGACAAAAGACTCCGCTGCCGCGCCCTGGACATCGCCAGCCGCTCCCGGCGCTCCCGCTCATCGCGGCGCTCCGGCGGGGAAGTGCCCCTTGGTGCGCCTGATGGGCGGCTTTCATATACTACAAGGGCGGCAACAACTGCCGCCGCCGCCGCCGCCGCAGGAGATGCGCTCTGCAGAGGGGCAAACGAGGGATATATGGGGGCAAGGCGACGCGATGACGCGCCCGCAGGTAAAGGCGCAGACGGTGACCAACGCCGAGGGCGACGGCAACGGTGACGACAATGACGGTGACGGTGACGGTGATGGTGACGGTGACGGTGCGGCGGGAAGAGTCGTGGCGGAGTGGGCATCGGCTGTGGAGCCGTCGCGCTTGAGCGAGGACCCCTCCTGCAGCTCTGCTGACAGCGAGAACGCGTCCGCGACCCCGAGCTGCCCCTCATCGGCGCCCGCCGCAGCGCGCGTGCCGTTATCTGCGCCAACATGCGCGCGGGCTACCGCCTCGGCTCCGCCGGCGGGGAACGCGGTGCGCGGAAATGGCGGCGCGCGGAACGCAGCGGGGATGGCGGCGGCGTCAGACCCGCCGGCGTGGCGGCAATCCGCTGACTTGGAGTCCGGGGACGTTTCCGCGGGTGAATTAGAGGAGTGGCGCCGGCGCAAGTGGGCGCCGCGCGCCGCGGAAGCAAGTGGCGCCGCCGCATTGGGCGGGGAGGCTGGCGCAACGAGCGGGTGCGCTGCTGCAGTGCGCGACGGAAAGACGGCGCAGAGTCCAATCCACATGGACCGTCGATCGGACTGGCCAGATCGGATTCTGGAGGAGTGGTCGTGCATGCGTCCGACGATGGCTGACGTGGCGTTTCAAGCGGAGGGTGACGTGGCATTCCAAATGGAGCGTGACACGGTGTTTCAAGTGGATCGTGACGTGGAGGATGAGAGCATGTCACAGCTCTTGAGTGGCGTGAAGATCGCGGGGGAAACGACGTGGAAGGCGACGGTCTCGGAGGGTAAATCACCCTTGAATTGCACGACTGTAGAGGGCAGCAACTCGAGCAGCGGCACGCCCTGGAGCAGCGAAGGCAAGGGGGGAGTGGATGAGTGTCCAGGCCATGATTTGAACAACGACTTGAAAGGACGCTGGAATGGCGGCTCGGCGGACCGTTTGGGGGGCTCGAGGACGGGAGGAGGCGAGCTGTGGAAGGCGCTGTGCAGTCTCGGGTGCGTTGGGGGCGTGCAGAGCAGCCGCGCCACCATGTCGCCACAACGGCACGCCCAGCAGCAGCAGCAGCAGCAGCAGCAGCAGCAGCAGCAGCAGAAATTCGTGGGCTCGCCACCGCGTTCTGCCCGTGAGCCCGTTCCAACCAGTCCGTGGTTCCACCAGTGCGACTCACCCCACCCCACCCGCGCGCCTCTGCCTCTCCTGCTCCCTCTCTCTCCCGTCCCCTCAGCTCCACCACCGTCACGAGCTCTGCACAGGCCTTGCCAGCACACCCCCTGTCGAAACACCCCGTGCAGGAACCGTGTGTTGAGGCGCCCCAGGAGTGCCATCCCAGGGAGCCCACTGGCAGGCAGCAGCTGCGTGCCGCTCATGCCTGGCACCCTGCCGAACGGCACCCGCGCCAGCAGCCCTGGCAGCTCTGGTATTGCGTCCGGAGCAGGATTTTGTGGTGGTCGTCATTCGCCCGTGCTTGCTGCTGCTACTCCTGCTCCTGCTCCTGCTCCTGCTCCTGCTCCTGCTCCTGCTCCTGCTCCCGCTCCCGCTCCTGCTCTTGTTCCCGCAGCGGCTGTCATGAATGTCGAGCGCCAGAGATGGGGCCACTCTACCGCAGCAGCAGCTGCAGGCTCGCTCAGCAGCAGATCGCACCAACCACACTCAGATCCACGTCTTACCCTTCCACGCCTTCCGACCCTCGGAGACCTTCCGAACCTCCCAACCCTCCCCAGCCTTCCCGGCCTCCCAAGTCCCCCGAGCCTCTCCGGTCTGTCAGGCGTCGCGTCCCATGTCTCTCCTCCTCCCGCCCTGCCGTCGTGCCCTCGTCTCGTCAACCCTCCGTTGGCGACTGGTTGGTCAGGGCGCACCTCTCCTGCTCGCAAGGCGTTGGGGACCTCCTCTCTTGCTCCGCTCACACTAGAGGTGGGTCTCACTTCGCTTACAGCCCGTTAGTCTGCTGGACTGGAACCCGGCTGGTGCTGCTTGAAGAATGGGTTTTGAGGGGCATGAGAGTGGGGCTCTTTTGTGGTTTGTGGAAGAATGTGTGGTTATCTTCTTTGTTTCCGTGTGGTTATTGTCAGGTTGTTGACTCGTGAGCGCCCTGTGTTGCCGTGTGCAGATGCAACTGGGACGGCTGCTGGAGCAGTGTCAGCAGGAGATGCAGCAACAGCAGCAGCAGCAGCAGCAGCAGCAGCAGCAGCAGCAGCAGCAGCAGCAGCAGCAGCAGCAGCAGCAGCAGCAGCAGCAGCAGCAGCAGCAGCAGCAGCAGCAGCAGCAGCAGCAGCGGTGGTGGCAGGTACAGCAGCAGCGATTGAAGCGGCAAGAGCAGCGAAACCGCCAGCTTGAGCTGTTCTTTCATCAGCTAGAAGCCAAGCATCAGCATCAGCATCAGCAGCAGCAGCAGCAGCAGCAGCAGCAGCAGCAGCAGCAGCATCAGAATCAGCATCAGCAGCAGCAGCAGCAGCAGCAGTACCAGCACCGTCGGCTCTAACAGTGCCTCCTCTGCCGTATGGCAAAGCAGCAAACACGCTCCTGCCATGCTGTAGCCCCTTAGGAGCCACTCTTGCACCTGCATCATCGCCTGCAGCACCTGCCGTGACTGCTGCTGCTTCTGCTGAGCCAACGGTTGAAGTGCTTGCATCTGCGGCTGTTGGTAGCGTGGAAGCTACAGGGGCTGCTCCTTGCACTGCGTCCGTTGCTCCCGTTGCTGCTGCCGCTGCCCCCCATGAGCTGTCTGTGTTTCCAATGGAGGGCACAGACTTTGAGGAGTTCTGGACTTCCCTTGACCTGCACTGCGAGGACATCTGAGACAGGAAGAAGGTGCGGTGCGGTACAATGCGGTGCGGTTCGGTTAAAGCACACCAGATGAAAAAGACTCGCGCTCTGTGGGATGTGGCAAACATGATGTGAGGCAGAAGCTCGCATCATGCCAACCAACTATACCAGTTTTTGTTCCAGCCTGGCTGAGAATTTCAGAACACGTTTGCATTGGTGCACGGATCTTCAGTCTCTTGACCGGAACTTGCTCTCTATTCTTTCTTTCTCTCTATGTTTGAGTGCCTAACCATCGACCACTCTTTGCATTTTTTGGTCGCCCAACCCATTGGCTGGGCTTCTTTCCCTCGCTCACCTTTTTTGCAGCCGATCTTTTCTTTTGTTACCCTTTTCCTCACATTCACGCACCTGTTCTCACCCCCTCTGATCAACATCACTGTCCAGGCTCACTAGGGATTCTCTTGTACATAAGATAGTCATGAGTGTCTGGGCAGCACCAGGACTTCTATGTGGAGCATTTGTGTTCATAAGATATGCATATGTTGTACCTATTTTTTCCTTTTTGATACAAATTGGCAAAGTTGTTTTACAAATTTTGATATTTTGGTTCGCCAATTAGATGTCGAGGCTTGTCCTGTCGAAGCAACTAAGAAAGAGTGTCAGGTACTGTAGCAGATAATCCGGTCCAGACCGGATTCCTCAATGTGAGGGAATGATGTCATCAACCCGTCAACCGCAGCCTCGGAGAAACTCGGAGGCCACATCCTCGTCATTTCTCGTCATCCTCGTCACTTCTGGTCAGTTCCCTCCACAATCGGATCCAAACGGTTTCAGCCCAGACGGGATGTTTTTGTCTTCACCCTTCAAGTTTATGTAATTTTCCGAAACCGAATGTTTTTGGAAGATTGTCACTAAGGGTGCGTCAGATCCGTTACAAGGTGATTTGGCTGGAATTTGGTCGACAATTTGGTCGACTAAATCTTTCGCCAAAGTCGACAACATGGTCGGCATAAAGAACGACCAATATCCGGCCACATTTACAGGGCCGAAAAATCTGACACATTTGGTGGCCGATTTGCAGGCCGCTTTGCAAATGTGTCAGATTAGCAGGTCGCGAGGGTGCCGGATTGTGCGACGCAGTCGCAGATCCAGTACTTGCGTTACACGTTGCGTCGCACGAGTTGGCGACGTCGCGTAGTTACTGTAGCGAGATTTGGTCGACAAATTGGTCGACTGGCGAGAGGACTGCACGTCGGAACTTTGTCGAATGCTGAACCGGCCATCAATTTTTTTACAAATGGGCGGATTTAGCGAATCGCACGAAAAATGATGCGAATGTCGCAAATGCGTTACCTTCGCTAATTCCGGCCGGCCGGATTTTTCCGACAACGGATCTGACGCACCCTAAATCACTCACATGTCCAGAGACGAGATTTTTTTCTTTGTTGGATCCCACCGCTGGAAAGGTACTTCACCCGTCGGATTTCAGGTTGAGCTTTGCCGGACGGTAAAAAAGTAGCGTTATTCCTAACCCTGTGTGTCGGATTTCAGATTTCTTTGCAACTGTCCTGTCGCTTTCAGCTTCAGCAGCGGCACAGACAACTTTCATTTCATCACACAGAGCTTTCCGCAGAGCACCAGTAGTAAGCTATAAGGTATCACTGCTGCTACTAGCGATGAGACCTGAAGACTTTTCCGCGGGGACAGTTGACGCAGGCCATTACAGGGCTGATTCAGGAATCATGGCGCCGCTACTGGCGACTCGCGAACGTTCAACCGCGACTGGGCAGGCGGCCGTGCGAGACAATGCGGTGGGAGATTCGGTCATCTGGAATGGAGATATCTCTCCCCGCAATGCTCCTGGCAGTTCTGATGTCGAGAGCAACGGCAGCATCGCCAAAAACGATGCTCCTGGCAGCAGCGCAGCTAGCAGCGCTAACAGCAGCGGTAGAACCGGCACCGCCACCGGCAGCGGCAGCGGCGGTCGTGATGGCGGCAGCACGAACGCACCTTCCGCGAGCCTTCGATGGAGGCGACTCGGCAATGTGGTGTCGTTCTCCACGCGGGTACGATGCTGTCATGGTCTCAGCGCTGCTGCCGCTGCTGCTGCCGCTGCTGCTGCCGCCGCTGCTGCTGCTGCTGCTGCTGGAGCTGTGGTTGTGACAATCTTGCATCGATTCGTACAACTCCCTCGTTCGCATTCCCTTGTTTCCAGCAGTATCCTCTTCACCTTCCTCCCAGCCTCGCTTTGTCTCATTCCCCCATCTGCACTACACGCGCATTCAACCCTAACCTTCCCCTGGCCTCCTCTCCTCCCCCACCCCCGGGCCCCGCTTCCCACCCTCCCTTCCTTGGCGACAGCTGGCGATGGCGTCGCGCAGCGCGGCCGCGGCGATGGACGAGCTGGGATTGGTGGACGACACGCTCACTGGCGTCGCCAACACCGTCGCCGCCGCCACCGCCGCCGCCGCCGCCGCCGCTGATGGTGGTGCTGGCGCCGATACTACTGCTGCTGCTGCTGCGGATGCTGCTGCGGCTGATGCGGAAATTGATGGTGGTGGTGCTGCCTCAGCGGAACAAGAGGGCTTTCCTAGCGAGGACGGCGCGGGGAGAAATGCGGGTGGCGTTACAGGGGGGCCGGGGGAGAAAGGGCTGCGAGCCGTGGCTGAATGGGGGGATGAGGGGGAAGATGGGTGGACGAGCGGGGGAACCGTTGCGGGAGGTGATGGGGGGAAGGTTGGGGAGAAGGGGAAGGAGAAGAATGGGTGGATGTGGAGTGATGATGGTGAGGGTGAGGAGAATGGTTCAGTGGTGGATGGAGTAAGAGACGGTGAGGAGGTGGCATGGGGGCGAGAGTATGGGGAGGGCGTGCAGGGAAGGGGGAGAGGATGGGGATTAGTGCGAGAGAGAGTGAGAGAGAAACTAGGACAGGCCATTCGCGGCAATGGTGGCGGTGGTGGTAAAGGTGCTGCTGCTGCTTTCAGTGGCGATGGAAAGGGAGCGAGGGTAGGAGCGAGAGAAGCAGGGGAAAGAGCTGAGGCGGAGAGGGGGGAGGGGGAGGAGCAAGAGGAGGAAGAGGGGGAAGAGGAGGCAGGGGAGTTTGACGATGGGCACCCGCCTCCGTCTCCCCCCACTACCACTGCTCCGCCTCCCCCTCCCCCGCCCGCGCCGCCGGCCATGTCAGCAGCAGCGCTGTTCAAGCCGCGGGGGCGCAAGAGCGTGGAGAGCATTCGGGTCACGCATGACGCGCGCCTCTACTGCGTGCTCACAGATGTCTACGTCACGTGCCTCAAGGTGGGCTCCTTTTGAGTCTTGAGTCGACTAGGAAACCGCCTCGTTCGCGTCACGCCACGCATGATGCGCACCTGTACTGCGTGCTCACAGACGTCTACGTCACGTGCCTCAAGGTGGGCTTCTTCTGAGTCTGCTGTTGAGTCGACTCACCTTTGGAAAAATGCAAGAGAGACTCTACTGTGCGCTCACAGACGGATATGTCACGGACGGCTATGCCTTAAAGTGGAACTCTTTGTGCTTCTTACTCATGCCTTCCCTTCCCTTTCCTTCTCCATGCTCCCCTTCCCTTCCGCTCTTTAATCCGCAACCCCTTTCCCTTTCTTCGTTTACTGCAACTCATCATCCCATCTTTCACATACCCCCTCACACGCCGCCCATCACACTTCCCTCCTGGCAGATGCCTCCTCTGGCGTTCTTCACGGCAGTGTTTGCAGCGCCCATCGTCGCCCTGAGCCTGCGCTAGTTGACTCTTGAGCCGACTCAAACCAAAAACCTCCATCCCCTCTTTCACATCACACCGCCCATCACACTCCCCCTCCCCCCGACAGATGCCTCCACTGGCGTTCTTCACGGCAGTGTTTGCAGCGCCCATCGCCCTGAGCCTGCTCTTCACGCCGCTCTTCCTGCTCGGAGTGGGCGGCCTGCACTTCGAAGACGGCATCCTGCCGCCCATCCACCCCCTCACTCACCCCCACACTCACCCGTACCCTCACTCGCACGTGCATTCTCACTCGGGCGAACCATTCGCAAGCCAGCTAGAGGCGATTCACGATACACAACAGCAGCAGCAGCAGCAGCAGCAGGGACTGCAGGAGCAGCCGTATCAGCTAGATTTTGAAACGCACAGCCTTCCCTACCACCAGCAGCAGCCACAGCAGCATTACCACGAGCAGCAGCAGCAGCAGCAGCAGCAGCAGCAGCAGCAGCAGCAGCAGCAGCAGCAGCAGCAGCAGCAGGAGCAGCCACACTGCCACGAGCATCACTGCCCATCCACTACCTGCCGTCCCTCCTCCTCCTCCTCCTCCTCCTCCTCCTCCTCCTCCTCCTCCTCCTCCTCCTCCTCATCCTCCTACTCCTTCTCTCCCCGTCACACGCCGCTCCTCTCTGCGCTGTCGCCTCGTCTGCACAGTGTGCTCGTCACACTGCTCTCCCTCACCACCTCCACCTGTGTGCTCTGCCTCGCCACAGTGCAGCGTGCTCTCTTCATCATTCTCAACGTCTTCCTCTACTCGTATGTAGGCCATTGCCATTGCCATTGCCATTGCCACATGCACACCACGCCTTTTGAGATGTCTCAAAAGCCGTGCAGAGAGCTCTCTTCATCACCCTCAACGACTTCCTCTACTCGTACGTATGCCATTGCCACAAGGTGACTTTTGAGTGTCGACTCAAAAGTCTCAGCGCGCGCTCTTCATCACCCTCAACGACTTCCTCTACTTGTATGCATGCCATTGCCACATCCACACCACCCCACCCATCGCCTTTTGAGGCGCCTCAAACGTTTTTGAGGATTTTTCAGGCGCCTCAGAATTTGTGTGCAGCGCTCTCTTCATCACTCCCAACGTGTTTCTCTACTCATATAACACACCACCCCTCGCCCCCCCCCCCCCCCCCCCTTCCGTCGCCTCTCTCGTTTCCCTCGTCTCCGCTGCCTCTCTTGCCTCCTTTTGGTCCCTCTCCCCCCATTCTTTACCTTCCTCCCACTACCCGTCACTGCCCATTCTTTTCCTGCTTGCCGCTCGACCCTCACCCCTCGCCCCTCACCCCTCACCCCTCACCTCTCACCCCTCACCCCTCACCCCTCACCTCTCACCCCTCACCTCTCACCCCTCACCCTTCGCCCACCACCCCTCGCCCCTCATCCCTCCCACCTCACCCCCCCCCCTCACCCCTCTCGCCCCTCGCCCCTCAGCACTCTCACCCCTCTCACCCTCCTAACCCCTCGCCCCTCGCCCGTGGCACAGAGTATCCTTGTCCACCACATTTAACGGCTCGCCCGTGTCAGTGCACTCGCCCTACATGCTTGTCATGCTTTCCAACTTCAACACCCTCCTTGCCCCTCACGCCCCTCGTGCCCCTCCTACACCGCTTCCCTCACCCCTCTATCACCCCACGGCAGGGTATCCTTGTCTACCACGTTTGGCGGCTCGCCCATGTTAGCGCACTCACTCACTCACCACTCACCCCTCTCGCCTCTCTCGCCTCTCTCGCCTCTCTCGCCTCTCTCGCCTCTCTCGCCCCTCTCGCCCCTCGCCCTCGCCCCTCTTCATTCTACCCACCCCCCGCCAGGGTGTCGCTGTCCACCACGTTTGGCGGCTCGCCAGTGTCAGCGCACTCGCCCTACACGCTCGTGCTCGCCAACCTCAACACCCTGCTCGCGCAGTTCCTCTTTGTCTTCCTCTCCGGCGCCGGTACCTCTCCTTCTCCTCCTAATCCCTCGCTCGCTTTCTCCCTCCCTCTCTCCTTCCCTCCCTCTCTCCTTCCCTCCCTCTCTTCTTCCCTCCCTCTCTCCTTCCCTCCCTCTCTCCTTCCCTCCCTCTCTCCTTCCCTCCCTCTCTCGTACCCTCCCTCCCTCCTTCCCTCACTCCCTCTCTCCCTCCGTCACACTTTCGCTTTCATTCTCTCGCTCTATGCGCCCGCGTCTGCTCCTCTGTCTTCCCTTACACCACCCATCCCCTCCACCACCCCACACACAAATATCTCCACCCCTCTTTCTTTGCCCCACAAGCACTCGCGGGCGTCTCATACCCTTGCCTTCCCTGCATCTTACCCTCCTCCCCTCCTCCTTGCTCCATCTCACCATCCAACTCCACTCCCCTCCACCCCACCCACTCCGCTCACCACCCCAACCACCCCACCTACCTCACGGCACCCACCCCAACCCACCTGCACCACACCCTCCCCCTCCAGTGTTTGCGCGCATGTCAGTGCCGACACCGCCAGTGCGCTGCTCCCGCACTGCTCTCATCTCCGATCAGGCTTTCTCCCTGCCCTCCACCGCTGCTGCCTCTTCCAAGGCGTCTGATTCTGCTGCTGCCTCGTTCTCTTCTCTTGCTTACCCCCCTGTCTCTCTCCTCCTCCTGCTCCCACTCACCTTCACTCCCCCCCCCCTGCAGTGTTTGCACGCATGTCAGTGCCGACACAGCCAGTGCGTTGCTCCCGCACGGCTCTCATCTCCGATCAGGCCTTCGCCCTGCCCTCCACCGCTGCTGCTGCCACTGCTACAGCTTCAGAATCTGCTGCTGCCGCTGGTGCTCCTGCTCCCCCGGACCGAGTCCGGTACATAGCTGCCCTCCCATCCTCCCCCTACCCATCGCCCTCCCTTAGTTTTTTGTTTTGTTTTGTTTTGTTTTTTTTTTCGTCCCCACCCCTCCCCACCCCTCTCACCCCTTCCGTTGCCTTCCCTCCCTACGACTCTGCCTCTCCATGAACAACACTCTCTTAAAAGATTCATTTCAGAGCACGCGTCTTGTCTCCTCAAACCCTCAGACCTCAACCCATCTCTTCCCCTGTCCCATTCCCTCCCGTCCGACCCCCTCCCGTGGTTCCCCCCCTTCCCTTCCTCCTCCCGTTCCTCCATTCCCCGCAGCGTCTTCTCGGCGCGCTTTGTGCTGACGGGGCCAGCGCCCTGCGACCTGGTGGATGCACAGTCATCGCTCACCTTCCGCTGCCCCTCTTCCTCAGCCTGTCTCTCCTCCCCTTGCCTCGTCTTCCCCCCCTCCCGTCCCTTCCCCTTCCCACCACCCACTTCCCCTCCCACTCTCCCGCCCTCTCCCGCCCTCGCACACCCGTCTTCACCCCTCTCTCCCATCCCCCACAGCGTCTTCTCGGCGCGCTTTGTGCTGACGGGCCCAGCGCCCTGCGACCTGGTGGACGCACAGGTGTCGCTCACCTTCCGCTGCTTCCACATGCTGCCCTCGGGCTCCGTCTTCTGCTCCGTGCACGACCTGCCTGTCGTCAAGGGGCAGGTGCGTGGAACAATGCTGGGGAAGGTGGGGGAAGGTGGGGGAAGGCGGGGGAAGGCGGGGGAAGGCGGGGGAAGGCGGGGGAAGGCGGGGGAAGGCGGGGGAAGGCGGGGGAAGGCGGGGGAAGGCGGGGGAAGGCGGGGGAAGGCGGGGGAAGGCGGGGGAAGGCGGGGGAAGGCGGGGGAAGGCGGGGGAAGGCGGGGGAAGGCGGGGCAAGGCGGGGGAAGGCGGGGGAAGGCGGGGCAAGGCGGGGCAAGGCGGGGCAAGGCGGGGCAAGGCGGGGCAAGGCGGGGCAAGGCGGGGCAAGGCGGGGCAAGGCGGGGCAAGGCGGGGCAAGGCGGGGCAAGGCGGGGCAAGGCGGGGCAAGGCGGGGCAAGGCGGGGCAAGGCGGGGCAAGGCGGGGCAAGGCGGGGCAAGGCGGGGCAAGGCGGGGCAAGGCGGGGCAAGGCGGGGCAAGGCGGGGCAAGGCGGGGCAAGGCGGGGCAAGGCGGGGCAAGGCGGGGCAAGGCGGGGCAAGGCGGGGCAAGGCGGGGCAAGGCGGGGCAAGGCGGGGCAAGGCGGGGCAAGGCGGGGCAAGGCGGGGCAAGGCGGGGCAAGGCGGGGCAAGGCGGGGCAAGGCGGGGCAAGGCGGGGCAAGGCGGGGCAAGGCGGGGCAAGGCGGGGCAAGGCGGGGCAAGGCGGGGCAAGGCGGGGCAAGGCGGGGCAAGGCGGGGCAAGGCGGGGCAAGGCGGGGCAAGGCGGGGCAAGGCGGGGCAAGGCGGGGCAAGGCGGGGCAAGGCGGGGCAAGGCGGGGCAAGGCGGGGCAAGGCGGGGCAAGGCGGGGCAAGGCGGGGCAAGGCGGGGCAAGGCGGGGCAAGGCGGGGCAAGGCGGGGCAAGGCGGGGCAAGGCGGGGCAAGGCGGGGCAAGGCGGGGCAAGGCGGGGCAAGGCGGGGCAAGGCGGGGCAAGGCGGGGCAAGGCGGGGCAAGGCGGGGCAAGGCGGGGCAAGGCGGGGCAAGGCGGGGCAAGGCGGGGCAAGGCGGGGCAAGGCGGGGCAAGGCGGGGCAAGGCGGGGCAAGGCGGGGCAAGGCGGGGCAAGGCGGGGCAAGGCGGGGCAAGGCGGGGCAAGGCGGGGCAAGGCGGGGCAAGGCGGGGCAAGGCGGGGCAAGGCGGGGCAAGGCGGGGCAAGGCGGGGCAAGGCGGGGCAAGGCGGGGCAAGGCGGGGCAAGGCGGGGCAAGGCGGGGCAAGGCGGGGCAAGGCGGGGCAAGGCGGGGCAAGGCGGGGCAAGGCGGGGCAAGGCGGGGCAAGGCGGGGCAAGGCGGGGCAAGGCGGGGCAAGGCGGGGCAAGGCGGGGCAAGGCGGGGCAAGGCGGGGCAAGGCGGGGCAAGGCGGGGCAAGGCGGGGCAAGGCGGGGCAAGGCGGGGCAAGGCGGGGCAAGGCGGGGCAAGGCGGGGCAAGGCGGGGCAAGGCGGGGCAAGGCGGGGCAAGGCGGGGCAAGGCGGGGCAAGGCGGGGCAAGGCGGGGGAAGGCGGGGGAAGGCGGGGGAAGGCGGGGGAAGGCGGGGGAAGGCGGGGGAAGGCGGGGGAAGGCGGGGGAAGGCGGGGGAAGGCGGGGGAAGGCGGGGGAAGGCGGGGGAAGGCGGGGGAAGGCGGGGGAAGGCGGGGGAAGGCGGGGGAAGGCGGGGGAAGGCGGGGGAAGGCGGGGGAAGGCGGGGGAAGGCGGGGGAAGGCGGGGGAAGGCGGGGGAAGGCGGGGGAAGGCGGGGGAAGGCGGGGGAAGGCGGGGGAAGGCGGGGGAAGGCGGGGGAAGGCGGGGGAAGGCGGGGGAAGGCGGGGGAAGGTGGGGGAAGGTGGGGGAAGGTGGACGCTGCTTCCACATGCTGCCCTCGGGCTCTGTCTTTTGCTCCGTGCCCCTCCCCCTTTCCCACTCTCTCCCCCCACCAGGTCCCCTACCTGCAGTACGGCATGTCGGTGCGGCACATAGTGGACGAGAGCAGTCCGCTGTGGGGCCACACGCCAGCGTCGCTGCAAGCAGGCGATGCCAGCTTCGCCCTCGTCGTCTCGGGCACAGACAGGGCGTCCATGCAGCCCGTCTTCCACATCCAGGTCCGTGCTTGCTGCCTCTCGCCCCCCTTTGCCTCTCCTTTATGCAGACTCAGCTTGCCATGCTTACCCTACACATCAGTCGTCTCGGGCACAGACAGGGCGTCCATGCAGCCCGTCTTCCACATCCAGGTGCGTGCGTGCCCTGCAAACCCGACGCCCTGCCTGGCAGGCTCAGCTTGCCATACGAACCGGCAGCACAGCATCAGTCGTCTCGGGCACCGACAGGGCGTCCATGCAGCCCGTCTTCCACATCCAGGTGGGTTCCTGCTGCTTCTCGCGGCTCGCCCCCCCTTGCCTCTCCTTAATGCAGACTCAGCTTGCCGTGCTTACCTACAGCATCAGTGGTCTCGGGCACCGACAGGGCGTCCATGCAGCCTGTCTTCCACATCCAGGTGGGTTCCTGCTCTGCTCGTGCTTGCCCTCGCCTGCCCTCTCCGCGCCTGCTCTTTCTTTCCCCCCGCCCCTCCTCGTCCCGCCCCACCCCGCCCCGTCTTGCCTCGCCTCACCTTGTATGCGGCTCAGCAACCATACCTGCAGTGTGGCATGAGTGGTCCCAGCCACCGTCAGCGCGCACGTCCATGCACCCCGTCTGGTGTGTGCTGCTGCTGGCGTTTGATTGGAGGCTGTGGGCTGGGGACACTGGGTCACTGTTTGCATGCTTTCTTGTGTGCGCTTTGCCTTGCTACATCACTCCTAACACTCCTCCCCCTCATCCCCCTCCTTTCCCCACCCCGCTCAGGACTACTACGTGCATGACGGGGAGGTGCAGTGGGGCAGTGAGTACGATGACTTTGTCAGTGTGTCACACACGGGCGAGAGGGTTCTCGACCACTCGCGAGTCGACGCCATCAAAACCTTCAAGGCATGTTCCTCTCTCTCTTGCCCACGTCTCCCCACGCTTCTTTCCCCAGCTTCTTTACGGCTTCTCCCCGTCTCTTTGCCCCCTCTTCTCCTCCTCATCTCCTCCTTATCTCCCCTCTGCAAGCCCTGAGGGATGTCTGATTTCCTTGCCCTCTCCCCTTTTTCTCCTCTTCTCCTTCCTTCTCCTCCGCTTTCTCCCTTCCTCTCCATCCTCCTCTCCTTCATTCCTCTCCCAGTCTCCTCTCGCCCCCTCTTTTCCTCCTCTACCTGCACCCTATCCCTGTTTCCCTCTAATTTAAGTTATCACTGCAACTGTATCCTGTCAACTGCAACAGGTGGGGGTGCTGGCAACGCAGGCAATAGCGCGCATGGCAGCGGCAGCAAAGCAGCGGCAGAGGCAGCTGCTGGACACCCGCCGCCTCTTCTCCTGGCTCTCCTTCCGCTCCCCTGCTGCTGCCCCTGCTGCTGCTTCCACTGGCGCTGCTGCAGCAGCTTCTGCTGGGTCTGGCATTGGCGGGTTCGTCACGGAGGAGAATCGAGGGCAAGAGCATATGGTTGGAGGGGTGCCGCGGGTTGATCCTAGGGATGAGAGGGCGGAACAAAGCAGGAAGCAGAGGAAGCAGAGGCTGTGGCGGCAGTGGGCATCCGGGTCCCTGCTTGCGACAAAGGATGACTGACTTGTGGCTATGTGTGTATAGTAGTGTACGATGTAAGGTCACTGTAGGGTTGTCTTTGTGTGTTATGCATTCTCTGTGCCAGCAGTTATGTGCGATATTCAGATATAGAGTTGTGGGTTCGTGGGAGAGTATACATGGTGAAATGGGTGTGGGAGTATTTATCTATTAATTAAACTACTGTGATTTCTTTTCTACAGCAACTGTAATCAAACAAAGCCAGCCTCTTATTTGTCGCCACGTGCTCGGCTTAGGGACTCAATTGACTCGACCCACTCTGCATGTGCAAATGCAGCGGCTCGTTGATTTCTTTCGCACGATCCAACATTGGGCGCCTTGGGCGAATTTCAACGGCCCTTTTTGCTCGGCCCCCCAGCGAAACTCGAAAATCCTTTTTTTCCTGGACGGATGGCAGCCTGCCACAGATTGATTGAATCCGCCTTTGGTCCTTATCGGGCGAAGCCACCCTGCTCCGCTCGAACGAGTGAAACACCAGACAGCCTTGTCACTAGAGGTTTCGGGCTTTTTTTATGGCGTTTTCTTAGATCGAGCAGAAGGGCAGCCTACGGGGTAGGGTGACGAGGACGCAGGCAGGGAAGTAAGTTTTCAAGGCAGGCAACGCTGTTTCCTATGTTTTTCGAAATGGATAGCGGGTACGATTCCGACGTAGGGTCGGATGATAATGGCGGACACGAAATAGGAAATGCGCTCGGCTCAGGCTTGCTTGAAGTGCCTCCGCCGGGACGGACTCCGCCTGCTGATGCTGCTGCTGCCGAGGCTGCAAAGGCTGAGGCTGCAGAGGCTGAGGCTGCAAAGGCTGCCAATTGTGGTGGTAGCCTGGAGTCTACTAAACGCGGCGCGGCATCAGGAGAGAACAAATCGGGAGTTGGGGAGACGACGGTGTTGGCGTTGAGGGAAGCGCTGAGGCGCGAGGGCGATGAGATCATTGAGAGGTGGGCTGCACACGCACAGAAAGCTGTACAATGTAGACGGAAGTTGCGTTTCCGTAGAAGACTTCTGATAGAGGTCTTTTGACCATCATGGTTGCTAACTCGGTGATAACAATACACCTGGTTCTGAAACGATTTCCGATTTTCAACTCACGTGCGTTACGACTCAATTATGTGCGTGCCTCTCTTTGTCTCTCTTCTCCCCTTCCCTTTCCCCTTAAGCTTAACCTTTCGTCGTTCCGCCCTTCCCCTCCATCGCGGTACGCGTGGTCATTGCGCTATCGAGGCCTGCGCCAATCCCCCCCGCCCCCGCGGGGGAGCGCCCCCTGCTTCCCCCCGTCCCCGCCATGCGCCCCTTTCGCAGTCGCATGCGCCCGGTGGTATCGATGCTGGAGCAGGCGCACCGCTCCTACCGCGCGCTGCACGCGCGCTACGAGAAGCAGCGCGCGGAGCACGAGCGCCTGCGCGGGTACGCGCGCGTGCAGGACGTGCGCGTCCTGGCGCTGGGGGAAGAGCTGGACGCGCTCGAGGCGCGCATGAAGAGAGACGGCCCCGTGGCGGCTCTTGAGTGGCTGCGATCTCGGGAGAGCGGGGAGAGCGGGGAGAGCAGCGTAACAACAGCTCTCAACGGTACCACTACGAAAGAGCAGGAGCCTCGTGCTGATACCGCTACGAAAGCCGCGGCCGCCGTTTCTGATGCACCTGCGGCACCAGCACAGGCACCGGCACCAGCGACAGGATTCGTGACCGAAGCTGTGCCGGAGCCGCCTCGTTCTGAGGGCAAGGCGGCGGGCGGAGAGGACGTTGGGGCGCGGGTGGGGGCGGAGTGGGAGCGGGTGTGGCTGACGGCAGTGGAGGCGGTGAAGGGGAGGAATGCGGGGAATGTGGAGGAGGCGGAGAAGGCAGAGAAGGCGGGGGGGGCGGGGGAGGCGGGGGAGGAGGAAGATGTGGGGGAGGCACGTTGGGCAGGGGAATCCACGGGCAGGAAAAAGAGTCTCGTCTCGCGTCCCAATCCCCAAACGATGTTTCCGACCCAAGCTCAGTCACAAGATTTGCTTATCAATCCCGCAGGAACCAGCACTCCTCCTCCTCCTCCTTACAGCACTCTCGGCCTCGCTACAGGCATCACCACGAGCAGCGGCCCTACGCCTCCAGACGCAGCCGTGACAGAGCCAGGCCGCCTCGCAGCCCCTGCAACGAGCCTCCCCACTGGGGGGAAAGACGAGGGGGGAGGGGCAGTGCTGCCGGAGGGGGCAGCGGTGGGAATGGGGTCGCGAGTGGGGAGGGTGATGGAGGCGGAAATGGGGAAAGCAGGAGGAGGAGGCGAAGGGGGAGCAGTGGGGGGAACTCTTGCAAGGGAGCGGGAGGGGAGCTGGCAACTGGAACGAAAGGAGCGCGGTGACGCGGAGGGAGCGGGGAAGGGTTTTGAGACATCGGGCAAGTGGATTGGGGAGGAGAAGGAGATGGTGGATAGTTCAGAGAGGGAGACGGCTGCTGCAGATCGTTCTGCGGGCGATCAGCTGAGGCCTGCTGAGTGTGAGGCAACTCCAACCCCCGTGACAGTGACGCTGGTGGCAGCGCCAGCAGCAGAAGCAGAAGCAGAAGCAAGAGGTGCTGGTGGGTCCCTCGTTGAGGGTGTTGACAGAGACAGCAGTGGCAGCAGCAATGGTTCGGTGGCCGCGACGCGGGCCAAATGCGAGGCACTCAGTGCCAAGGCGGCAGAGGCGGGTGGTGGTAAGGCGGGCGGCGCAGGGAGGAAGAGGGATGACGTGGCACGCAGCCGCCCATCGGGTCGCAGCGTGCGGCACAGCCGGCGGCCCAGCGTGGTCGAGATCGAGGAAATTATCGAGCCCTCGCCTTCCTCTCCTGAGGTTTTTTCTCCTGCTTCTCCCGCTGCGTCCGCTGCTGGCGATGCTGCTGGGAGCAAGGCGGGGTCGTGGCTGGGAGGCCAGGGTGGGAGGGCGGGACTGCTGCTGAGCTCCCCTCTCTCCACTGCTGGCAGTAGCGCCAGCGCGGACATAGGTGAGGGTTCTCCTCTTGGTACTAGCGCCTCTGGGCCATCAGTGGCATCATCACCAGGGCTGTGGACCCGGCCCCTTGGCATGTCATCTCTTCATCAGCTTTCTCCATCGCCTCTCTCTTCAGCCCCTGGCCGTACTTTCGCAGCAGACCCGGGCAGTTCTGCCTTCCTCTCCTCGGAACACTCGCCTGGAGTGGCAGCAGCAGCAGGGGGAAGCATGCAGTGGGATCTTCCCCCCCGGCAGCAGCCTGGGCAGTACGAGGAGCTAGAGCAGTTTGACATCTATGAGCCTCCTCCTAGCAGTGCTGGGATGGAAAGGAGGAGGGCTACGTCAGGTAACTTTGTGATGGAGACCCAGCCTGCGAAAGAGGGCTGGGAGTGGGGCGGTGCTAGCGAGTCACCTCGGAGGGCGACGACGACAGAGGCGGGGGGCCTGTGGGGGCGGCATGGGGTGGGGGAGAGGACTGGCAGCACAGGCGCGGAGGAGGGGGGGGTTGGCACTACTGGAGGAGGGTATGGGGTTGCTGGTAGTAGTGGCAGCGGCCGTGAGATGGTCGAGAGGAATTCACAGCAGGGGTTTTTTGGCCGGGTGGTGGGTGCTCTGAGGGAGGAGGCTGCAAAGAATGTGGACAGGATTAGTGAGAAGGGGATCTTGGCTATTCCTGGAGCTACAGGGGGGTTTTACTATGGGCTCGTTCGGCGGTCGCTTGGAGGTTTGTAAGTGAGCCGGTTGGCAGCGAATGCCTTTCCAAATGAAGCGTCATTTGCATGTTGTACAAAACAACGGGTCTGCTTTGTTCTAGATTAGGCCTCGCATCATTCAAGTTGTTCCGAAGTGTCTGTATTTGTGCCTAACAGTGGTGCCTTTATGGGAATGCAAGCACCTATGAGCTGGCCATGGTTGAGATGGTGATTGCCATGAAACAAGGAGAAATGTGTTCTACCACACACACCCACCTTAGCACAACCGCAAAAAGGAATGCCAATCAGAATGGTGTTAACACTCAACTAATGCTCGACGTATTTCCAGTGTTTACAGATAGCGACCCATGCGTCAGTATCAATACCAGCGCACTGGCTGGACGCCGCTATGGTCCGGCCTGTTAACGATCAGAAGAGGTAATTAAAGAGAATAAAGTTTAGTGATGGTAACCAGAATGAGGCCAGGTCCTTTATGTTTATTTGAGCGGTGCGCTCTCAAGAGAGGCAGAAGTGCAGATTAACAAATGAGGGACACAAGGCGTAATCGTTTCGACCGCTGACATCTCTGACTAGGTCAGAGTCGTGAGCCAATCGGGGAAACTGTATCACAAGGCTGTCAAGATTGACCCACCGACTGAGGAAATGCAAGCATCGTTCGCGCCCAAGTTTTTTCCTCCGACCTATCGAATCTGACCGACTTGCTCCACCGCCGACAAAACCCGTTTCTTGCGAATAAACTTTTTTGAGTTCCAAGCAGTTCAGCGACAACAAGACAGAGAACCACTCGGTTCAGAGGATTTCGATCATTTTTGTTGCGACAAAACCAATGATCCTTTGACTGGCCCGCCCAACCACATTCTTCGCGACACGTCGATGATGCTGTTTCTATGAAGGTGTCTCTGTTCGCTATGGTAACAGGAATCGCAAAGGCGTCGCAACGAACAAGTGCTGTTTCTCGCCATTTCTCTTCACACCTTCGCATCTGTCATTTTTCTTGATCTCTCACCTCCTCGTCTTTCCCGTCGCGGTTATTTCACCCGCCACACATACGCACGCATTGGCGGAAAGTTAAACAGAGTGAGGGGGGCGGCTGGTGAGGGGGGGAGTGGGGACGGGTGAGAGGGGTTGGAGGGTGTTGTAGGGTTGGAGGGTGGTGTTGGGTTGGAGGGGTGTGGAGTGACAGACAGTACATACACGTACAGGTCAACCACGCAACTGGACAGGAGCAACTGGTAAATACAGCAGTTGGCGGACGAGAGTTGGCGCGTAGCGGCGAAATCCGGGGAAGGGATGGCAGGTGTGGCGCGTGCGGGGAGGAGGAGGATCTGTGCAGGGTTGTGGTGGTGGTTGAAGGCTTGGGTAGGGCTGGTTCAAGATGGGTTGGGTTGGTTTGGTGTAAGTTATGATACGGTAGATGGCGCAGGCATTCCAGTGACCGAGGAGCGGTGTTGGGGCCTCAGTTGCCCATTCACGTCACGAAGAGCAACGGTGTTGCGCCCTGCAAAGCAATTGCAACTAGACCACACATACATATTTTTAACTCATTTTGGGAGCAGCTGAACCTAATATTTACAGGCAGGGCATAGTTGTAAATTCTACTGCTTGGGAATGAGAGATTGTGCTGGCGCCAGAAGCGGCAGTAGCAATAGCCCAATGGACAACATCGAAGTAAGCGACAATCTGTTCAGGTGCGACAGACAATGCGACAGATACGACGGGTCATGCGACAGCCTGTGCGAGCGATGGCGACACCCACACAGAGTAGCGACGACGGCAGCTGAGCCGTTGGAGTCGCTCGGCGACAATCGCATGGAGGCTGTCTCCGCAACGACAGACTTACCCGCCACCGTAACATTATTACGATCAGCAGCCACGCCCTGGCATTCCTCACCGCGGCTTGCCTCGTCGCATTCCCCTTTGTCGCACGCCTCCTTGTCGCACGCCTCATTGCCGCACGCGCCCTCGTCGCAGGCCACCGCCACGGTGAGCCAGCGCCCAACCGCACACGGCAGAGCATGTCGCCGCGGCGGGCAACAACCCGCGCACTTCCCCCTCTCCCGCCTCCCCCTCCTCGTCCTCCTCCTACTCCTCTGCGACACTCCCCATCTCTCCCCACCGTCGCTACCATCATCACCATTCCAAACTCCGTCGTTGTCGCCGTCGCCATGGTCGCGGGGGCCGTCGCGAGTGCTGGTGGCGCGCGCGCAGCAGGACTCGCCGCTGCTGGGGCAGGGCGTGGATCCCGTGGCGGCGGGTGCGGCGCGCAACTGCACGCCCGTGTTCATGAGCGCCGTGCTGCACAAGCTGCTCAAAGTCGACGGTGCGCGCGCTTTCCGCTTTATTACTACGCTCCGCATGCAGCTTGTCGTCACGCTCCGCTTCCCCCGCCGGCTGTACCGCTCCGCATTCACCTCCCCCTCTAACTTTTGTTTCGCCTTCCCCGCTGTGTCCCCCCCACCTTCCCCCCCGTCGCCCCCGCGTTTCTCCCCCGACGTGTTGCGGTGCGGTGCGGTGCGGCGCGGCAGAGAAGAGCTACAGCTTCGACGCCGTGGTGCTTCTCATGATGTCCTGGGTCGACTCGCGAGGTCAGCCATGCGAGGCCATGCCGTTACTTCTCTCAATCCGAAGCCCATGCCCATCGCTGCACAGATATTTCTTCACGCCCATCCCTCACTTCCATTCTCTTTCAGCTTCCTTTCTTCCTGGTCACTCTTTCCCCTTCCCACCCTGACATTCACATATCCCCCGTGTCCTCACCTTCCTCCATCCGCTCCCCTCCTCCCCCCTACTTACCCCCGCGCCCCTTTCCTCCCCCCAACCCCATCCGCGCCCCGCATCCCCCCTGCAGCGCCGCTCGTTTGGCGCGCCATCCGCGGAGTGCGGGACGCGCGCCTGGCGGAGCAGCAGCACCGCGTGGCGGAGTGCGCGCGGCTGTCCGACCGCCTCGTGGGGACCATGGGCGCGGACGCGTGGGGGGAGCAGAACGGCGCAGCAGCGGACCAAGCGCCGGGGTCGCAGGCGGCGCCGGGGGCGCAGGGGGCGCAGCGGAAGGGGGCTCCGCAAGGGGGAAATGCGGCGGGAGCACCAACGGCGGATGGGTCTAGCCCTGCGCCTGGTGCCGCGCCCGGTGTTGCCCCCAGCGCTGCTGCGCCCGCCAATACCTCTTTTAATACCTCTGCGTCTAGCAACGCCACCACCGCAAGCAGCAGCCGTGCCCGCGTTTCCCGAATTCTGGCCGTAGCACCTACACCTGCATCCGCACCCGCACCAGCGCCCACTGCGGGTGCTGCTGCCGCTGCCGCTCCTGGTGCGGCCAACGGCACAGCAGGCGCGGGGAACGGCACAGCAGGCGGGCCAGGGCAGGGCAGTGCGGCGGATCATGCGCCGGGTGCTGGTGGTGGTGCTGCTGGTGGTGGTGCTGGTGGCCCTGGCGGGGGCGGCCCTCCTCACAGTCTCAACGCCTCTGCTGTCGCTGAGCTGTGTGAAAGCGCCATCACCAAGGTACGCTGAGGCCCCAGTTTACTCTACCTCCCTCGCGCCTCCTTCCCTCCCTCCTTCCCTCCCTCCATCCCTCCCCTTCATCCTCAAGACCAGGTTCATTCACCCGCGCTTATCCTCCTCGCTTTCGCCACTCCCTTCCCCTCCCCTCCCTGCCCCTTCCTCAAGCTTGTATATGCCTGCTGCTCCTCTTTCCCCCCCTCCCCCCTTCCCCCTTTCCCCCCTTCCCCCTTCCCCCCCTTCCCCCTTCCCCCTTCCCCCTTCCCCCTTCCCCCTTCCCCCTTCCCCCCCTCCCCCCTTCCCCCTTCCCCCATCGCAGCCCGTGGTGCCGCCGTGCAGCAAGCCGTGTGCGCCGGGGTCGGAGCTGTGCTGTGATGCCGTGTGGCTGCCGTCCTTCCACGTGCCCAACGTCAATGCGTACTCGCAGGACCGCTACATCACTGGTGCGCACTCGCTTGCGCTTGCGCTTGCGCATGCGCTCCCATGCACGTGCGTTCATGCATTCGTGCAAGCTTGCATGCATGGATGGATGGATGGATGGATGGATGGATGGATGGATGGATGGATGGATGGATGGATGGATGGATGGATGGATGGATGGATGGATGGATGGATGGATGGATGGATGGATGTGCCACATGTTTAACACCCCTACACACTTTCTTCCTCGGAGTTCCCTGTTCTCAATCACTCCCACTGTTTTCGCTTCCTTGCCTGTTGCTTACACTCCCTCTCTTCTCCACTTCACGCGTCCATTCCCCCACCTGCACGCCCCCATGCCTCCATGCCCCAACGACCCCATGCCCGCACGCCCCCATGCCCCCATTCCCCCCCAATTCGGCCGTGCAGACGAGATCCAGCAGTTCGCGCCTCTCACCAACCCCACCATTGTGGGCCGCCAGGTCCGCGTGCAAGGTGAGCCGAGCCTATTCTCAAGCGGTGCAGGGTCGCACGGGGCAGGGCAGGGCAGTGCCGGGTAGTGCTTGCTTACACTCCCTCTCTCTCTCTCTCTCTCTCTCTCTCCACTCGCACGTTGGCGTCCTGTGTTTGCGCAACCCCCGCATCCTTACTGCCTCTGCTGCCTCAACCCATTTCTCCCCCACCCCCACCCACCCACCCACCCACCCACCCACCCACCCACCCACCCACCCACTGTGCGCCTCTCTGTTGTACAGGCACGTTCTCAACGGCCTTCAACTTCAAACGCTTCCCCTTCGACTCGCAGGCAAGCACCACCAGCACCACCAGCACCACCAGCACCACCATTTCTATCCCTGACAGGGCTTCCTCCCTTCCATGCCCACTGTCGAGACGTCTCTAAGGTCTCCCGCCTCCCCTCCCTCCTCCCCGTTCAGCACTCGCTCACCTTGTCACTCATCCCTGCAGCAACCGATGCAATTTCTAAGACGCAAAACCACTCCCTCTCTCCCTCCCTCCCTCTCTCCCTCTCTCTCTCCCTCCCTCCCTCTCTCCCTCTCTCTCTCCCTCCCTCTCTCCCTCCCTCTCTCCCTCCCTCTCTCCCTCCCTCTCTCCCTCTCTCCCTCTCTCCCTCTCTCCCTCTCTCCCTCCCCCCCGACCACCACCAGTCGCTCACCCTCTCCATCACGCCAGCAGCAATGGACTCCCCCCAATCCGCGCGCTCCTGCTACTACCTGGTCTCCTCCCTCGTGGCACGCGAGGGCGCCAGCGCGCTAGCCATGGTGGCCACCGGAGGGAACGGCGGGCCAGGCGCTTACACCACTGACGAGGTCACCGGGTGGTATACCACCAAGGTGGAGCTCAGCTGCACGGGCGATGCGGTTTTGAACAGGACGCGGAGTGGTAATAGCAGTGACAGTGGCAGTGGCAGTGGCAGTGGCAGTGGCAGTGGCAGTGGCAGCAGCAGTGGTAGTGGTAATGGTAGTGGTGGTGGTGGTGGTGCGAGTGGTGGTGGTTCTGCTGCTGGCGGCAGCAGTGGAGGGACGAGTGCGGCTGCAGCAAAGACAGGCGCTGCCGCCGCTGCTGCTGGTGCTGCTGCTGCTGCCGCTGCTGCAGCTGGAGCAGCCACAGCAGCAGACACTGCTGCTGCTTCTGCCGCTGGTGGTGGTGGTGATGGTGGGAGCGGTGGTGGTGGATGGAGCAGTGACGGTGGTGGGGACATGGGGAAATCGAGCCACCTGCAAAACTTCAACCCTTGTGCGTGCGGCTGGCCCCTTCTCCCCTCCTCTCGTGCTCATCGCCTCTCTCCCTCCCCCCTCACCCAACGTTTCTTTTCCCCATATTTATCTGCCCTCCCAAATCCTCTCTCCCCATCCCTCCCCTTCTTCTTCTCTCTCTCCTCCTCACCATTTGTCCCCACAGTCTTCCTTTCCGTCCATCTCTCCCTTTTTCTCCCCCCACTCTCGGCCCACTGTTCTCCCATCTCCCCTCCCCTCCCCCCCCCCACCAACTGCAGTCGACCCTGTGACCAGCATCGTAGACGCAGCACGGTCATTCAAAGGAGGAGGCGGAGGAGGAGCACCCAAGCAGCCACCACAGCAGGGGGGACAAGAAGACCAGGCGCTCGTGGGGGGGGGCGCGGGGGACTCTGCGAAGGACTCTCCTTTCGCGTCGACTGCTGCGCCGGGGGTTGGGGGAGGCGTGGCGAGTCTGGCTCCGGAGATGGGCATGGGCGTGGGGGGCATGTATGCGTCCACGTGCACGCTCACCATTCATGTGGAGCGCTACAGCTACTACTACCTCTGGACGGTGCGTGTGTTGCTACTTCGATCGGCGGGTGGGTGGGTGGTTGGGTGGGTGGTGTTGGGCTGATCACCGGGGCATGGCATGGGCATATAAGGAAAGAAGTACAGATATCATTTGCTTGACCTCCCCTTAGCCCCCTCCCCTCTCCCCTCTTCTGCCCTTTCCCCTTCTCCTCTTCTCCCCTTTCCCCTTCCCCACTTCCTCCCATCCCCCATTTTCCCACTTCCCCCTTTCCGTTTCCCCCGTCACCCACTCCCCTCCCCGTGCAGATCATATTCCCGACGATGATTACGGTGTGTCTGGCGTTTGCGGTGTTCTTCGCCACGCCCACGCAGCTGGACATCCGCGTCAGCACCACCGTCACGCTCTTCCTCGCACTCATTGCCGTGCAGTTCGTCATCGAGGAGCAGGTGGGCAGAGGAGGGGACGGGCGGGGTGGGGTCGTGGGTGGGCGGGTGGGTGGGTGGTGGGAGGGTGCATGGTGGGAGGGTGGGGGGAGGGTGATGGGAGGGGTGCATATATAAGCCCCTCATGAGCAGTCTTCCTTGCGCTCATCGCCATGAAGTTTGTCATTGGGGAGCACTGAGCAGGTGGCCTGTGTCCCCCATGCGCCCACCCATGCATCCCATGTGCCCCATGTGTCCCATTGCCCCATGCCCCCCATGCACCCCATGCCCCCCATGCACCCCATGCCCACCATGCCCCCCATGCCCCCCATGCGCCCCATGCGCCCCATGCGCCTCACGCGCCCCACTTGCTTGCAGCTACCCAAGACATCGTACGTGACGGCATTCGGGCAGCTGGTGCTGGTGTCCTATGCCACCATCGTGCTCGTCATCCTCGAATGCCTCTTCGTCTTCTACCTCACCTCCATGGTACCTCCTACCTCTCCTCTCTCCACTCTGATGTGTCTCACTTTGACATGCATCTACTCTCTCCTCCACCCTCCTGCTCCTCTCTCTCTCTCTGTGTGTGTGTGTGTGTGTGTGTGTGTGTGTGTGTGTGTGTGTTTTATGATAACTTTCTCGACCCTCCTGCTCCACTCTCACCCGTCTGTTAGACTCGATCTGGTTCTCTTTGCTGCTTTTTCCACAGTGCCTTCGTATGTTCTCTCCCTGTTCACTCCCCGCCCGCTGCTGCTTCACATCATGGCGTGCCATCGTAGGCCATGCCATGCCATGCCATGCCATGCCGTACAGTACAGCAACACACACCAGACGTGATGGTGTGCAGTGCAGAGGCATGTCACGGTACAGTGGTATTAATCTTCATGCCGTTGACACAGGATGATTTCTGAGGCGTCTCGGACGTGCGTTGTTCTCGTCACGCCTTTGGCACCCCTCTCAGTCCATGCTCCTTATTTTTCGCTCCACCCCTCGCCCTCCCGTCTTCTTCCTCCCATCCACCCCATCAGGAGGAGGTGCGTTTCTTGCAGGGCAAGCAGCCTCGCGCTCACAACAATGCTGATGACACATTTCTTTGCGTCGACTAATCAGTATACTCTCCTCTCCCCCACCCTCTCCCTCCCTCTCCTCCATCCACCCCATCAGGAGGAGGTGCGTTTCTTGCAGGGTAAGCTGCCTCACGACAATGCAGACGGTGATGACGACGACAACGAGGCTTGTGCGAGGGGAGGGGGGGGTGCGCTGGGCCGTCACAACTGCACGCACAAGCGCAGGGCCTATGCAAACGACGGCGACGACGACGAGTGCGACGATTACGATGACAGCAGCAGCAGCAGCCAGCGTTTGAGTGACTTCAGCTACGGGTTCTCCCACCCGCACCACCGCGCCGGTCCTCGAGCCTCCAACTCGTCCCGCTCGCTCCGTGCCGCCCGAACCTCCTCCTCCGCCTGCTCCTCTTCCCGCTTCGCCCCTCGCCACTCCAACCGTGTGTATACCGGTGGTGGTGCTGCTGCTGCTGGTGCTGGTGGTGGTGGTGGTGGTGGTGGTGGTGGTGCCTCTCTGGGTGTGTCGCTGTGCTGCGGCGGTGGCTGCTGCAACACACCGTCTACTCAAAGCCGCGCCTCCTCCTCTCTTGGTCTCCTGGATCCTGCTCCGTCTGGGATGGACGACAGATGCGAATGCTGTCTTTCTGATGCTCCTGCTCCTGCTGCTCCTGCTGCTGCTGCTGCGGCTGCTGCTGCTGCTGCGGGCGCTCTGCTGAGTGCTCCCGCTCCTGCTTCGTCTGCTGCTCTCGCTGCGGCCATTTCTTCCCACGCGCCATCCGCCCCTCCGGCTGATTACTTCCACACAGACCCGTGCGGTACCGCCCGCAACGGCTGCACCAACAAATGCGGCAGCAACTGCAGGAGCGGGAGCGAATCAGACGGCGACAGCGAGGACGGCATCGACGGAGAGGATCCTATGGCTCAGGTGGTGGATAAGGAAGCGCGAGCACGCGCTGCCAGGAAGGCAGCGGCTCTCTGGACAGTCGGGTCTGCGTGCGGGTCAATGCGGAGAGAGGGAGCGGAGGTTGATGGCGAAGCAGGCGTGGATGGGAGGGTGGGAGGAGGCGGTGGTGTCAGCGCTGGTGTAACCACGGCCAGGGACTTTTATACTGGAGCTGCTGTGGCTGGGGCTGGGTGTGCGGCTGGAGCACTTGCTGGCGCTGGGGCTCTTGCTGGTCAAGGGGGAATTGAGATGGTATGCTCCTCCTTTGGTTTCAACACCCTGGCTGATTTTCTCTTCCGATTTGTTCGTAATGTTGTAGTTTCCTCTTTTCGTAAACAGCACAAATATCTGCACACATGCATCGCCTTGTTTCACCTTTTTACTTTTGTTCCCCTTTTTTCCTCAAGCAAATGCATTCCGGATACATAGACATATGATTCCTTTCTTCTTTCTTCTCTTCATGCCTGTCCTGTCCTGTCCTGTCCTTATCTTATCCTTTGCCAGGTGAGCCAGCCACATCAACGGCCTTCATCACTCTCTCTTCCAGCCCCTAACAACCAGCAGCTGCCCCATAATCCTTCTAACTGCAAGATAGACATTCCGACAAACCGTGGCAGGGGCACCGGCAACAACATCAAAGCCGGCAGCAGCAGCGGCAGTAGCTTCCGACAATTCTCTCTATCTCTATCCTCGCCATTCTCCTCTTTCCGTTTTGCTCAGCCTCTGCTGAAAGCAGCACCCTCTCTCCGTCGTGCCGTCTCGAGCTCGGTCAAAACCATTAGGTCACACAAGCAATACCTGGGAAAGAATGCAGCAGCTGCGTATCGGCTCGCTAGTCGCATCGATAGCATTGCACTCCCTGTCATGTTCTTTTTGTACATTCTCTCTGCCGTCCTAATATTCAGCTTGGCCTGAGTATGTAGCATTCATTTGTGAAGCTGCCTGTTTCCATGCAATAGAAAGTGTATGTTGTTGTGGCCAGCTTGGTGCTTTCGGTGCTTTGACGTTTAACTTTCCTCCGGTTAACACCTCTATTGTGCCAGACAGTGAAACATGAGACCCACCAGACCCTCTGGCTTGTTCATGATGATGCTGGGTTGCATAGGGTACTTGGAATAGTTTGTTTGTTTAATTATATTTTTCTCACAAGGGATTGCTCTGCCAAATGTTTCAGTCAGAATGATTCTTTAATCGAGGCGCCGACAAAAAGGTTTGTTTGCACTACGCTTTGGTGGCCGTTTGCGCATCAGACAAGTTTTCGCCTCTGCAAGCCACCCTCGCACGCGAGTTTTCAAGGTTTTGGTTTGGTTTGGAGTGTGTCACGGTTTGAATTCGGAACGCCTTCAAAATACTGTAGTGTACCAGAGATGCGTTGAATTGTTGATGGCGACGTCAGGTTGCACAACTTCTTGCACGCTCTCTGCGGTCAACTTCGTTTTGTCACGGTGCAAAGCGGTAATTTTTGGAAACCGCTTTTCACCGTGTGGAATCGTCCTGAGCCACGATACAAGAACTGTGTGAGTTTTGTACCTGATGTCGACCGTGCGTGGGACCACACCTCTGTAAATTCGTGCTGGCTCATCGCTGGTGGGAATCAGCACACTGCTGGCTCCGGTCTGGATGGAGGCTTGGTTCGAGTACTGTACTAGTGTACTGTACTGTGTGACCCGTTCGCTTCAGGGTTGATAGCCCTCTTTGGGCCCGTGCAGTGCCGTGCGGCGGCGGGCTCGATGCTTCAAAACCTTTTTGAGAAGACGTGACGTGGAAGTTTCACGAGAAAGGCATGAAAGTTGGCACTGTACACCCCTAGCTGACGAAGTGCCAAGGCGAGAAGATCCCTCTTGCACTGTTGTCCAGACAGGCCAGGGGAGTGCCGTCGACCCCCGAACCTGACTTTATAAACGGTGGAGATTCTCCCACGTCGTTTGCTCAGCTCTTCCTGTTTTCGCGCCACTTTGACGATGACGAGTCGCGGCAACTTCTGTAGGGGGCGGTTAGCGGCTTCCAGGCAAAATTTGGGACTTCGGTTGGGGAGGGATGAGGTGTGGTTGAGGGGTTTCGGGCTGGTTACGGGGCGGGCAGGAGCAGGCGAGACACGAGACACAGAAGCCTTGTGCTGCACGACAGCAGTGATTCATCCCCTCGAGTTCATCATCATCCGACGCGAGCGGGAGGGAGGGATGGAGGAAATTGGGGTGGTGCTGCTGCTGGCATGGGGTGACATCATGACATGGCTTGGCACCATGGCACAACACTGGCACGCAAGCTCCCTCCCCTCCCCAGCCTTACTTTCCGCTCCACTAGCGGTTCAAGACATGATGCTTGGTGCGCAGGTGATGATGAGGGAGACGCATCGAGGTTCGTTCAGTTGGGTGGGGTTGGCGCAATATGCTCTCTGTTGGATTTCAAGGGCCTCTCAACTTTCGCCACCTCGCCTCGCCACCCCGCTGTCATTCATTCCTCCGCACATCCCAAGGCTCGCTGTACTACACCCCTCCTGCATCTCCCCTCGTAGCCGTCGGAACTTCCATTCAGCGAACCTTTCCGCCTTGTAAACGGAGACTCGTAACGTCCAAGCTCTCCATCCGAAACCACTTATCTTTCTGGTACTTCCCGTCCCTCGCGCGCATGAAATTCCCATCAACCTTAACTCCGATCTATTCGCTCTGCCTCGCGACTGTCCACCGATTTGATCGTCCCGCTGTTTTCGCCACCCTGATTTCACGTCCCATCAGACTCCAATAGTCCCACTTCGTTTAGAAAGCGCATCCACGATTCTAGCGTCTTACTTTACGAACCTGCACGGCTGACGTCCCGTCCAGCACGATCCTCCTCAACCGATTGCTAACACAAGTTGGAGAAGCGCTTGTCAGAATTGTTAACAAATCAAATACGCCCGACACCTTGTCCACCAATCCAGCTCAAATTCCCATCGTAGCCGCGTCGCCGTCGGCCTCCGTCGTCTGATGGATGCACCTCGCATCCCGCCGTGCGTCTAGGTCCGAGATCCGCAATTCCCTCTCTTCTATCCATCCATAGACCCTCGGGAAAAGACGTTCTTTCCCTTGCACCGTCTCCATCTTTCCTGGTCTGAAGCTGTTCACAGCAGACTACTGCTTAACCATTCTTTACCCTCCTTATTCCCCTCGCGTCGCTTCTCCCTCGCCAGTTCATCCCGCAGTTCCCTTGCTGTTGATCCACGCGAGAAGTTAAAGTCGTAGGAACTTTGAAGTAACGGTCTGTCTGCACGCGTCCGCTTCGCTGTTCTTTTCGCTACTTGCCGAGTAATCAGCGCGGACGATGTTACCTCGCAGCGTTCTGCCGAGGCATGGCAAGCTCGCTGCTCCACGTGGCTCCGCGTGAAGCCGCCGGCGCCACCGCCAGGATAGTAGCCTGCGCCGCCGCCGCCGCCGCCTCCTCTGGATCGACGACTGGCACGCCGCGTGCCGCGGAGCAATTCTCCTCCCGCGCCAAGAGCGCCGCTTTGTTGGGAACCGTCGTGGCTGCGGGAGCGGTAAGCGCACCAGCGGGAGCAGCAGTCGCAGCGGTAGCAGCGTTTGCAACGTCGCCTGGGTTGAGTGGAAGTCGAGTTTGCTCAGGAAGTAGTGATAGTTACGCCAGTTGTAGCAGTATCGCTGACGGCAGCACAATTGCCTTTCTTAACAACGCTGAAAACGTTTGTGACAGCAGCAGCAGCAGCAGCAGCAGCAGCAGCAGCAGCAGCAGCAGCAGCAGTTCGTCAGCCGCTGGGAACGGTGGGGTCGATGCGTCGAGCGCTGCTTGTGGCGAATTGGACTTTGGTTCTACAGCCACCGTGACCTCGACGTCGAGACAGCAGCAGCAACAGCAGCGGCCGCCGCCGCAGCAGCAGCGGCGTGCCTTGGACGACACGGCAGAGCCGATCAAGGCGAAAAGCAGCGCCGTGGCGCCGGAATCGGCAGATCTTGGCAGCGTATTGATGCTGGGTGGAGGTGCATCTGGTGGAGGTGGTTCTGGTTGTAGTGGTGGCAGCAGTAACCAAGGGCAAACGCAGACGAGCGCGCCCAGCAATTGCGACGACGTCGCCAAGCCGGAACGCGCGAAAGTTGCTCAGTCGTCCAGCCTGGCGTCCACGTCGTCCACGTCGCCAGCATCATCGCCGGCAGAAGCCGGATCTGACCGTGCGACGGAATCTGTCGCTGGTGCAGCAGCGGCAGCAGCAGCAGCAGCAGCGGGTTCAAGGCTCGGAGGAGCGTGACAGTGACCGGCAGTGGCACACGGTACGAGACTTCAATTCCACGTTGACGACGAGACCTGAGGTGATGGGGAGAGACGGATCTGTGGACAATAAGACGGCGTTAAGCAGCGGCGGCGGCGACGACGTGGGCCGACTCCCGCCAGCTGTTGCAAGAGCGGGCCCCGGTTATGGACTGGGTGGTGAGACAGGAGAGGAAGGATCGCGCGATAGGGAGTTGGAGATGCTAAGGGGAATAGGCGGTGCGTCCATGCATCCGGGTTACGCTATGACCGCTCAGGCGCGCGCACAGGTACGGTGTTCCTCTTATTGAGTCTACTGCTGCTGCTGCTGACCAGCTCTTCCCGGCTGTCTTATTCGTTTCTTTCTTTCGCGTTCCCCAGTCTTTGCGCGTCCAAGTCAATTTTAGATCCACGGTTGTGTTTCCTTGCAGTTGTTATGCTGATCTGATGAACGAACCGGTTCTTCTCCCTAATGGTTCTTTTCTCTTTCTCCCTCCGTGTCGTTTGTCTATCCGTTCTTGTCATGTGCGTGTCAGGCACAAGCCGCTGGGGCACAGGACGTGGAGCAAGCGGTGACGTGGCAGCTGGAGCAACTAGATCTTGGATCGGATCTCAGATCTCGTTTCGCACAGCGCGCCGCCGCAGCTTCCTCATCCTCCCACGCTTCTTCCCTCGCCCACTTTCAAACCCGCTCTCCGCCTATGCCTGAGGGATCTGCCTATCCTGTGCCGCATGCTGTAACCGAGAGCGCCGGGTTTGGGGCTGCTTTTTCAGGCAATCTTGGGGGGTTTGGAAGCGGATTGGAGCTAGGGGGAAATGATATGCGCGGAGGTCATGGCGGAAGCAGGGGGCAGTACGGGGAGCCGTGGCTTAGCGGGCAGCATGCTGAGACAGTCGGCAATAGCAACGGCCGGTTTGAAGATGGTCGGTTGGATGGTGGGCGGTTGGAAGGTGGGCGGCTGGAAGGTGGGCGACGTTTCTTGGAAGGTGGGCGGCGTTTCTTGGAGGGTGAGGCAGGTTTTTCTGGCGCTAGTGCTGGTGGTAGCACCATTGATGGTGGTGGCGGAGGTCCGGGAGGCTTGATGCGTGGGTTTTCCACTGGAGCCGACGTGTTTGGCTGGCCTGACAGGCAGGACAAGCCTAGTGCGTATGGTGGCAGACTATCAGAGTCCGCTTTCACATCTTCCTCCTCGTTTTCTTCCACTGTTTCCACGTCTGCTGCCGCCGCTGCCGCCGCCGCCGCCGCCGCCGCTGCTGCTGCTGCTGCTGCAGAGCGTTCTGGGTCCCGGCTTTCTTCCCTGATCGGATCTGACGTGAGCTCAAGATCCGGAGGCTTTCTGCCGCAGCAGGTGGCGGAGCACCAGCAGCAGCAGCAGCAGCCGCAGCAGCCGCAGCAGCAGCAGCAGCAGCAGCCTCCGCTATCGTCGCAGCACCAGTGGCAGCAGGCACAGGAAGCAGGACCTCAGCCCGTGCAGGACCAGCTGCAGCAGGAGCAGGGCCAGGCGCAGGGTTCTGGGGGCAGGGCAGCAGCGTCGGGGCAGCCAGAGAACCGGCGGCGCATGGCACGGGGGCCGCGGAGTGATGGGTCGGTAGATCTGGAGCCTATGTACACGGAGGATCACCGCGTGTTGAAGGTAGAACGGTCGGAGGACGGGCGAGAGGCGTACGTGTGGGTGACGCTGCTGGCCGCGGGGTTTGTGATTGGGTCCTCTGGGGCCGCTGCGCGTCAGATCGGGCACGTGACAGGCGCGATTGTGCAGTCGTGGACTGAGGCCGCGAGCGGGATTGATGGGATGGAGGGAGAGGAGATCCGACGGTTCAGGATCCAGGGGAAGAAGGAGAAAGTGGAACGGGTGATTAATCTGATCCATGACGCGGTTGATAAGTATAAAGAGCTGTGTGAACGGAAGAGGGAGGGGCAGTTCGTTCTGAGAGAGCATAGGATAGATGGGGTGGATTTCCAGTACCAGCCGCCGCCGAGGAAAGCGCTGCAGAATAGGGGCATGCCTGGGGGCGGGGGAGGCGCAGGTGGGGCTTCTCGAAGTCCCCCAGACGGTGGCGGTGGCGGAGGGGGGATGGGGATGGGCATGGGCAGAGGAGGGGGGGGGGGGAGAGGAGTTGAGGACATGCGCGCACAGCTGCTGGCGAGTGTGGTGGAGGGACGCATGATGGGCCGGCGTGGGCCGATGGGGGGAGGAGGGATGGGAGTGGAGGAGGCGGCTCTGATGGAGCTGAAGCAGCAGATGTACTACGAGCATTTGGAGGAGAGGACGTTGTTCCTGCTGTGGCAGTTGCAGCAGCAGAAGCTGCAGGCAGAGCGGCAGCAGCAGGAGCAGCTGCATCACCAGCAGCAGCAGCACCACCAGCAGCAGCAGCAGTTGAATCAGCAGCAGCAGATCTGGCAGAGCTTAAGGCTGAGAGGAGAGGCGGAGGCGTTCCGGGAAGGTGCAGTGAGCAACAGCTTTGGCATGGGCGTGGGCGTGGGTATGGGTGTGGGCGTGGGGGGTGGGGGAGGCATGGGTGGAATGGGTGGAGGGCCTATGGGGCAAATGGGGCCTGTGGCCGGGGGGATGGGGGGGTCTGGCATGGGTGTGGGGAAGAGCATGGAGCAGGGCATGGGCGGGGGGTTGGGATTCGGTATCCCAGGCGGAGGGAGAGGTAGGTGGGATGACTTGGGCCGGCTGGGGGGTGAGGAGGAGGCGAGGGGGTTTGGGGAAGGAGGGAGGGGCCAGGGAGAGGAGGACTTACAGGCGGTTGCTGTGAGGGAGGCTATGAGGGAGAAAGTACGGAAGGCTATTGAGCAGCGGATGGGGGGAGGGGATTCGAGTGGTGCTGCTGCATCTGCTGGCAGTGGTGGTGGCAGTGGGGGTGGTGGTAGCAGCAGTGGGGGGGGCGGTGGGCAAATGGGGCAGTGGGCGCGCACCATGCTTGAGCAAGAGCTTCTGGAGAACTGGCTTGAGCAGCAGCAGCAGCAGCAACAGCAGCAACAGCAGCAACAGCAGCAGCAGCAACAGCAGCAGCTGCAGCAGCAGCAGCAACAGCATCAGCAGCAGCAGCAGCAGCAGCTGCAGCAGCAACAGCAGCATCAGCAGCGCATCTCACCTCTTCCGAACCATCCAGGAGGGCGGAACGACAGCCCTCACCACCATCACCTGCACCAATTCCCCATGCATCCGTCCCACCCTTCCCACCCCGCCCACCCCGCCCATCCCGCCCATCCCTCCCATCCCGCCTTGGGTCTCTCCATGCCACCACCTGCTCCAAACATGGCTGCCGGGAGGGCGCTTTATAGCACTTCTCCCTTTCAAAACAGGCAACTGTCCCTTGAAGGCACCATGTCGGGTGAGCGAGGGTGCTAAAGCCCCTAGTGCTTGACGATTGCAGCTGCCTTTGCATTCTTTTGTTTCGTCGTGAGATTGCAGAGTCTTCACCTCCTTTTTCCCCAACTGAACCTTTCCTTTTCCCCCGATTCCTCCTACTCCCGCTCTCCCATGCTTGCACTCTCCTTCTCTCCCTCCCTCTCTCCCACTCCCCCAATCTCCTGCCCTTCCACTCTCCATTCTCTTCTTTCTACAGCAACGCCCGGCACGTCTTCTGCCCCGCCCCTATCGCTCCCAGTCAACCCGTCTTTTCTTGACGGGTCAGCAGCACTGCTCAACTGCCCCTGCCGCCCCTCCTCTGTGTGGTCTGGAGCAGCGCAGGCAGGCCAGCCCCTCGGCCATGGTCCCAGCTGCCCTCGAGCAGCAGCAGGAGCAGCAGCAGCACCCGGGGGACCAGCAGCCGCGGCAGCAGCAGCGGCGGTGGCAGCTGCAGAAGCTGCTGCAGCTGGAGGCCTCAGGCCGTTTGCTGGGCTGCCTGGGAGCAGCAGCAGCGGTAGCAGCAGCAGCGGCGTGGGTGGTGGTGGCGGTATAGGCGGCAGTAGCAGCAGCAGTGGAATTGGGAGCGGGAGTGCGGGCAGTAGTGTGGGTTCCGGGGGCAGTGGCAGCAGCAGCAAGAATAACAGCCCAAGCACGAATGGCAGTAGTGGATTGGGCAGCAGCAATGCTGCTGGTGCTGCTGTTGCTGCAGTGGCAGGGGCGTTGAGTGGGGGGCTTTGCTGTGTGGTGTGCCATGAGCTGCCTGTTGCCTTCAAGCTTCTGGTACGTCCATTTAAGCCCATCCTTTTTTGTTGTGTTTTTACTTCCCGTCCTGTTTGGTTCCGTTGTTTCAGAAACAGGCGGCCATTGGTGGGCTCTTATCGTCTCTCACTTCACTCTTTCCAATCCCTCCTCTTTTTGCTCTTCTTTGTGCAGCCCTGCCACCATGCCGTGCTGTGCCAGGTGTGCACCAATTTCGTCGCCACGTGTCCAGTCTGTGGTGTGCCACCTCAGCGCACTGTGTCCATATACGACGCGCCTTCAGAAACCTCCCACTCTCGCTTTGCATTCGCCAGTGGCCCTCCCAACCCGTCCGCCCCCTTGTCCCTCGCTGCCACACATCCTCACTCACATTCACACTCATTCATGATTCATGGGGGTGCTTTGCCAGGGGGGGTAGGGGGAGGCGGAGGCTTAGGGGGGAGAGGAGGCGGAGGGGTAGGCGGAGGAGGAGGAGGCGGACCAGGGGGGCGTGGAGCAGGGGAAGGCAGCATGAGAAATTTGCCTGATGGTATGGGAAGTAGATTTCAGGTGCCTGGATCCTTGGGTGCTCCCGCTGGCTCCGGATTTGCAACAGCAGAACTTGCGGCCGCTTCTGCTGCTGCTGCTGCTGCTGTGCCCGCTGTGCCTTCTGCCATGCCTCCTGCTGCTGCCTCTGGTGCTGCATCTGGTGCGGCAGCAGGCGCGCATGGTGCATGGACGAGTGGTAACTGGCAGCGCATGGGGGGAGCAGGGGGAGGAGAGGCGCACCGATTGCAATGACAGCAGCTCATGTGTCACAGCAACAGCAGCTGGAGCAGCAGGAGCAGCTTGAAGAGGAGCAGGATAAGATGCATGAGTGGTGGTGGCCGAGAGTGGCAGCATGTGGCAGCAGTGGGTGGTTGGTTTGGGTTGAGGTGTCACTACTAGCGCGCCTGTTGTCAACTGGGCAGTTTGTTTGAGAAAGTGGGGCTGTTGGCAGTTCCAAGCAGGTATGCTGGGGGCATAGTGCAATCTGCTCCTTGGTAAGGCGTTTTGGATTCAGGTGGAAAGGAAGGGAGAGGAGGTTGGTAGGTATGAGGGTTTGTGTAAAAGGTGGTGGGGGAGTGTGATGGCCAGGGCAAGGAGGTGGAGATAAGGAGAGCAGAGAGGACAGGTGTCTGAATGGTTCAGTTCAAAGGTTGGTTTTAAGATTTTTCTGGGTTGTCTGAGTGATGTGTGCTACCTGTGCATCAGTCCGTGCAAGAAAGAGTTTGTTTGTGCAGTTGAGCTTTTGTGAGTGTTTCAGTGTTTCCCCGTTTCCCCTGCTCATTCATTGTGTGCGCATGTGGAGGTGCAGGCTTGCACCTGCTCTGCGCCGTTTGTTGGTTCATTATTGTGTGTTGTTGTGGCTGTTGCTTTCTGGAAACAAAGGGGCTTGCTGTTTTGTGTTTGCAAGTCACTCTGGTGGGTCAGGTGGCGACTCGCCTGGGGGTTTCTAGTGTGTGGTGACTGCAGATCTGGAGGAGTGCAGTGCAGTGAGGAGGGGCTGGGTGGGGTTGAAGTCAGGCATGTTTTCTGTGAGAAGTGCCAGGTGGAGTGAGAAGGATGGAGTTGAAGTATTTGCAACGCTGGAGGGGTTGAGAGGTATCGAGAGGTGTTGGGGCACTGTGTGCTTGCTTGGGCAACAGCGGGAAGCTGCGTCAGGCTGTTAGATGCCAGCCTTCTCCGACAGGTCATCAATCTGTGCGGCTCTGTCAGCATGGGTCGCTCAGTAGTGCCTCTTCAGCAGTTGCCCGGGAGTTGTGCTGGTTCCTAGCCTCAGCATGGGCACCTGTGATGGAGACGCGCTTATCGATTGGTGCCTTAGGTGCCAGCACGTGGGTGCATTTATTGGAGCCGTGCCTTGGATAGATTTGTGTCAGCTCATTTGAAGTGGTTGGACGCTTTGCAGTACGTGGAGGCTTGGTCGAGGGAGGGATTTGTTGTTGGTCATTGATGACTAGTTTTATTTGTGGTGCTGTTGGTATTTGTGCTTTGTTTTGCCTTGGTGTATGTGTAGAAGATCTCGTTTTGTATTGCAATTGTAATAGCATGACATCAACCCATGTTACTTCAATAAGCGGGACATGGCTTCGAAACTCGCTCAAATGCTTATCTCAGATCTGCAACACACTATGCATGCCTTTCCGCCGAAATCAGCGAGGGACTGGAGACGGCTGTCGCCAGACTTGACAGGCGACGACGTCATTCTGCGGTTCGGCGATCGTTGCGAATTTCATCCTCCATCGCCGCTTGTAAAGAGTAACCTGACCGGCCCCTGAATTCCACTGACCAGTCCATAGTAGTTCCGGGGGGCCCTGGGAGATTATTAGACTGGGATTATCTCTTCTTCCTGCTTTCCCATGTGGCGACCAAGTGACGTTATCCTTCGCGTCCCGTTCGGCTGCTTTGGCTCTTAAGGCCGAGCAGCAGAGTGGCAGCAGCACCATAAGTAACTGTAGCAGCAAGAGAAGTAGTTTTTCGTTCCGCTCTGCCACGCCCAATCATCACTTGCGAATACTCCAATCGCGCGCATCGAGGATCGGATGGGATCCAATCAGCTGATGGGGTCGAAGCTGATGGGGTCTAAGACTCGGCGGCCCGGCGTGGTGCGGTGCCCGGTGGGGATCGTCGCGCTCATGTGCGTCGCCGCGTTCTTCATGGGAAGCTTCTATGGCAGCGGCATCTTCGGGGTACGCGTTACGGCTATGCGCGACTCGCTACTTTTGTTTCTTCTTCTTTTTTTCACTGATGCAATCAAGTGGTGTTTTCGGCCAGTGGTGGCGCGAGGAGATACTTTCTAAAATGCGTTACACTGAGCGCGTGGATTTTCGAAAGGGCTGGGAGGGTGCACTGACGGAAGGACTGCAAAGTTCTCTTTCCATTTCTTACTTTACCTGCCTCCCCGCTCCTCCCACCTCATCGCTTTTCTTCCCTTCCTCCTCTTTCCTCCCTTGAAAATTTTCTTCTCCCCATCATCAACCACACGTTCCTACTCCCCCCTTCCCCTTCAGCGCGTGCCTGATCTCAGAGCTCCCGCAAGAGCCGTCCCCACCTCCTTCACCAACCCCGCTCACCGCGGAATTCGCCTGGAGCGCGCAGGGGACCACCGCGGGAGCTTGGACAGCGGAGCGGAAGGGGAGGGAGGCGCCGGTTGGAAGGGGAAGGGGGAGGGTGAGGGGGAGGTGGGGAACGGGGAGGGCAGCCATGACTGGCTGGCGTTTGACCACGGCACGTCAGGCGAGAGCAGTGTTTCCATGGTGCCATTCCAGGTGAGATGGTGTGGTTCAGAGTGCGTGGCAAGGGAGGACGGAGGGGGAGGGAGCGACGTGATGCATGGTGGCAAGGCTGACGCACACTGGAAGGATACAGGCAGGAGAGGAGGGAGAAAATCTTAATGCTAGAATTTGAGAAGGATTTGGGTGGAAGATGAAGGCATTGAGGGAGGACAGTGAAGAGGCACTGTTAGTTGTGTTGTGGTGTCTTGTTTACTCTTCCTCAACCCGCCACCTTTTCTGTGCCACACGCCTCTACCTCCCTCGGACCATTCTCAGATGATATCGTGGCATCCTCGTGCATACGTCTTTCCCCGCTTCGCCCCACGCCATGTGTGTGAGAATATTCTTGCTGTCGCCTCCAAGCGCATGGCCCCATCCGGGCTGGCTCTCAGGCCAGGCGAGACTGAGGATGGCACCCGGGATATCCGCACGAGGTAGGAGGCTGGTCTTACATTATATGTGTACATATGAATACAATGTTTTGTTTTTTTTTACCTCTTATATTCCTTTTAGAATGGCTGTCATGTGAATGTGAACATTGGTGGGGCAGGTTTGAACGTGTGAATGGCTGTCGTGTGATCGTTTTTGCTTCAATATGGGAGCAATGTTGAAGTGACATCCGTGCACACTTTTCTGCCCCTCTTTTCTTCGTTGGATTCTGTTGTTGCCACCTTCCTTCAGCTCAGGGACTTTTCTTGCAGCCAACATGGACCCATCAGGCTCACTTGCTTGGGTGGAGCGCAAGATGGCAGCAGTGACAGGCCTTCCTGTAAACCACGGGGAGGTGAGTTGTGTACAGGATCATGGGCAAGTTTGCTGTTGAAACACTCACCTCGTCTTTTCTGCAGATCCTGTTTTGCGCCTCACTCACTTTTATGCCTTGACACCCTTGGCCAACAGTCGTTCAATGTTCTGCGGTACGAGTTGGGGCAGCATTACGACTCGCACATGGACGTATTTGATCCCAAGGAGTATGGCCCTCAATCCAGCAATCGAGTGAGTACCTGCTGTTAGTACGAGTAATCTGCTCTTTGGCTCTTTCTTCATCAACCCCGCGGTCCTTCACTTATGGGGCTGCATCGGCTGTTCATTATGCGTGTCTCCTCCTGCCGCAATACGAGCATGTGCCTGCATTCATCTTTTCCCGCTGGGTACCTCCTGTCAGATGGCCTCGTTCCTACTTTACCTTACAGACGTGGAAGAGGGTGGTGAAACCATGTTTCCATATGAGGTGTGTGCATGTGTGTTTCTTTTGCATCTCTGCTGTGTCAAGTAATACCCCATAAGCGCCCAATTGATTTGTTGCTCATGACACCCTGCTTCCAGCCATGATTTATGTCTGTTTGTGGGAAACTTGTTTCAGGGTGGACGCAACATGAATATTGGCTACAACTACAAGGACTGCATTGGCCTGAAAGTGAAGCCACGGATGGGTGATGCTTTGCTGTTTTGGTCCATTTACCCTAATGGCACCATTGATCCGGTAAGGAATTGTTCCTCCCGGCTTCTGTTATTTTTCATGTCTGTTTCATTTCGTCCCTTCCTACCACTGTTGTTACCACTCTTGTTTTATTGTGATTGTCAAATGCAGACTTCACTACACGGAAGCTGTCCAGTGGTGAAAGGTTCCAAGTGGGTGGCAACGAAGTGGATTCGTGACAAGCCTTTTTCTTCATAAATCATACTGCATAACTACCTCAGAGCTGCGTACTGTAGTACGGTGAGGTACTAGCATTTAAATAGTGGGCCTCTTGCAAACTTTTTGTTGGAATCAATCCCCTTGAGAGAAAGCACCTTGCCATTGTGTTTCTCCTTCCAATTCTCTGTTCCCTTCCCAGCACTGGGACTCCCAATTCCTTTTCCTCCTCCTATAGGAGCGACCTTGCTCTTGAAAGCTGTCAACAAAAGGTCAATGTCATTAACGGCAAGTATATGAAATGCCAACCTTATATGCTGTCCATGGTACGGTAATCAGCACCCGATGACTTCTTACTCGATGAAAAAGGTTGTGGCGGCTGCATGCATGCTTGGATTTTGTACTGCAACAGAACATAGGCTACTCTGTTGAACAACCATGGGACGTTGTCACCTGCAACACAACAGCGTGATTGCAGATGGTGCAGACTAGAAGCGCAGCAGGAAAAGTTTGAAGGGCTGACCTGATTTAGCACTGACTTCAAAGTATTCTGCGTTTAACTCCTGTGCCATCTTCAGCCCCTGTTCGTGTTTCACCGCGTGAAACATGTCCGCCTGCCAAAAATGGCTCATCAGCATCCAAATAAGAAGAACTGAGGAAATGCGTCTACCGTACCAAACGTACCTTGCAGCCAACCAGAAAAAGAAGCACTTGTTGACCCTGGTTGTGCTTAATGACATCACCAGCCCACTGCTTAGTCGCAAAAGACCCATCAGACATGGAATACCATCTGAAGAGCAGACGGAGATGGAAATAGAATGTGCTTAAGTCTTACCCTTTTCATCTTTTGAAAAGTGTTGGGATCGCCTAGATCGAAAGCCAGTATACAAGCATGAGCTCCTCGATAATACGTGGAGGAAATTGCACGAAATCGCTCTTGGCCAGCCGTATCCCATCTGAAACAAGGAACAGCCAAGATTTCAGTTCAACGTGCGTGAAAGCGAAAGCAAGATGACCTACATGTTCAGCGTAAACTCATAGTCTCGGTGCTTGTACTTCTGCCAGAAGAAGTCAACACCGATGGTGGACTGCGAGGAGGACCAGCAGCATCAGTGCATTGGTCAGTAACGATAAACGAAAGAAACATCATAGATACCTTGAAGTCTTCTGAATAACCCCCTGAGCAATATTTCATAATAAGATTCGTCTTTCCCACGCTGGATTCTCCCACAACGATAACCTTGTCAGCCCAATCCCTCGAACGAGTCCTGTTGTCGAACCGTTAGCACGCAACTAAGGAATTTCACAAGAATTTGTGTTTACTTGCAATCGTACCTATTACGAGCATCTTGCTGCTCAGAAGACGGAAGTGGTTTCGGAAGGAGGTCGATCCTGCAGTGTAGTATCTTTCTGGTCAGCAATACATCCTAAGCACAGAATGCAAACGGGACGATTTACTAGATATCACAAACCCGCTTTGTTCTGGGGGAGGAACCCCGTCATCGAGTGATATTGCGGGCCTAGTAGCAGAGGATCGCTTGGTGACATCAACTCGTCTGGCCATTGTGAGCTTAGTGGGTGCTCAGAGCTTCGGCTTAGTCTTCAAGGTGCGAAATACAAGCTGTTGTGGATGCCCCCTCATCAATGGCCTTGTTCGATGATGTGCGAGGCGCAATTCATCTCGCTGCGGGCTGTGGCTCTGGCTCTGGCTCCCATACCAAGTTACTTCGGAATTAGTTGTATAAAATGACCTAAACATGTCAAATGAGATAACTCAAATCAACTCAGAACAGTAATTACAAAACTATCTATTGACATGGGAATATACTATCACACGGAAAATTTTGTAATTCCTCAATACCTACAATCCAACACCTTTCGAGTAATATGCATGGTTCTTATTAAGTTGAGTGTTTATTCCAGTGGGGCTCAAAATATGCACTCTTTTGTAATTATCATACCGTATTACCAATCATGTTGCTACAGCTTGGTAACATTTCCACTCTATAGTATATTCTCTTTTTGTCAGCATATGCCTTATCTGCCAGATGCTGGACTGGCCTACACTCAGATAGTGAGTGGTCCTACTTTCTGATCCAGAAAGAGTGCTATATACATGCAGAATATTATACAAGACTCGACGTTAACGTCGTTAGGGTTGCGTAGATGTTACATTCTTAATTGGAAACAAGAGGAGATATAATGTAATTGATAGAGTGTCAAACTCAGGTTTTCTTTATTAAGGAAAATGGCAAGCCTGTCAGTTCGTGATGATGCAATCTATTACTATTATGGTGGTTTTTTTGCGAGTAATCGTTACTAATATGCGACGATCTAGACACGTTGATTGTTTTTCTTACTTGGTGAACAATTATGTTTTCTACCCTCAAAAGAGTATATTTTGTAACGTAGATGTATGAAGTTCTTAGTGAGTTCTGAGTGTGGACACCTTCAAAACTGACATTGGTTGCGTTAGCTAGCCAGGTGTGTCACGTGATTTTCCGTGTGTTTTCACGTGACGCAATTTGGCTCGATTTTTTCAACTGCCCGAGCCATATTCATGTTTTCAGATCGTACGTATCCAAAACTCCTCCATTCTCGCAGCTCCTCAAATTTGATTACTGTAGTTAGGGCGCGTGTGATCGGTGGAATTTGTGAAAGTTTACATTTTAAGGGCGAGTTGTGCTACATGAACATATGTCGAACCAAACTCGACTTTCATTGTATCGGGGTTCGCACATCTGGACCACAACACTGCAGAAAAGCACACACATATACAAGGTCGAGTGCGCGTATTCGAACTTGTAAAAACGCACCGAACCGCATTTCTACAAAGTAGGTTACCCGGTTCTAAAAAGTAGGTTACCCGATTATCGCCACGTGGTCTCTATTCAGTACACGAAGGCTGTGGTGAGTTCGTTGTGAAACTGTTGCTACTCGTGAGTCGCTCGCACATTTCGCCAGATGCTCGAACGTGCGGGAAATCACACACGTGAATGTGAACATGCCGAAGCACGTTCACAACTAAAACTCGAGTCTTGTTCAAGTTTGCAGTTCGCATGTTGCCAAACCCAAAGTTGACGAAGTTTCGCTCGTAGCTTTATGCGACATTGGCGAAACTGGTAACCACACAAAGTTCGCACTTTTTTTTGAATTTCAAATCCGACCTCACACGCCCTTACTGCAATTTTCCCTTCGCACCTCCCCAAACCAACCCAAATATCTCCACCCACCTGTTGCCTCTCCCTCCAACCCATCCACCTCGACATTGCCTCTCCCTCCCACCCACCCACCTCATCCCTCCCCCTCCTTTCCATCATCACTGCTCCCCTCAACCCCGCCATCCACTCTATCCCACCTCGCCTTCCCCCCTCCCTCCCATCCCGCCGTCACCGCTCCCTCCCACCCGCCGTCGCCGCTCCCTTCCTCCCGCCCTCGCCACTCCCTCCACCCGCCGTCGCCGCTCCCTCCCACCCGCCGTCGCCGCTCCCTTCCTCCCGCCGTCGCCGCTCCCTCCACCCGCCGTCGCCGCTCCCTCCTCCCGCCGTCGCCGCTCCCTCCTCCCGCCGTCGCCGCTCCCTCCCTCCCGCCGTCGCCGCTCCCTCCTCCCGTCGTCGCCGCTCCCTCCCTCCCGCCGTCGCCGCTCCCTCCTCCCGCCGTCGCTGCTCCCTCCCTCCCGCCGTCGCCTCTCCCTCCTCCCGCTGTCGCCGCTCCCTCACAACCCGCCGTTGCCTCTCCCTCCCAACCCGCCGTTGCCTCTCCCTCCCATCCCCGCCGTCGCCCCTTCCTCTCGCTTCGCCGTCGTCTCTGGCGACAGGTCACGAGCAAGCTGGTGCGCGAGCGGGAGCTGCGGTGCGCGAGCGCAGGTCGGGTCTTTGAGGCACCGTGATTTGCAGGTGCGTTTACCTTTCCCCCTCCTTTTTTCCATCCTTCCCCCTGAAATTCTATTGTTTTCCTACATTATTTGTATTTTCTGTGTGTCGATTCGTCTCCTCTTGCGTTGCACTACTATTTGAAGTGGGGAAAAAAGGGAGGGCGAGGGAGAGCGAACGCACTGGAGCGAGCGGTGAGTGCGCAGGAGAGAGCACGTGCGAGAGGGAAGGAATAGCTGGAGGGAGACAGGGTGGCAGGGCGTTCAGGAGTGAGCGTGGGAGAGTGGGCGCCGTTGGCGCTTGCACCTACGGCGCTGGTGCCGTGGGCACAGGCGCCCTGTGCGCTTGCGCCATTGGCGCGGACCCCGTGGGCGCGAGCGCCGTGAGTGCTGGCGCCTAAGGCGTTTGGCATAGGGTGCTGGTGCCGTGGGCGCTTGCGCCATTGGCACGGGCGCCGTGGGCGCTGGTGCCTTGCGCGTGAGCGCCATGGGTTTTGGCCCCTAAGGCGCGGGCGCCGTAGGTGTTAGCGCCTAACTCGCTTGCGCGCGAGCGCCGTGGGTACTGGCGCCTAAGGCGCTGGTGCTGTGGGCGCGAGCGCCGTGGGCGCTTGCGATTAGGGTGCTGGCGCCTTGGGCACGAGCGACGTGAGGGAGACACTTGTATGTGCGCATGCACTTGCGGGTGAGAGCGGTTGTGAGCGCAAGGGCGAGGGCGAGTGTGAATGAAAGAGCAAGTGCGAGCGTGAGTGTGCAATTGAGTGCAAAAGAAAAATGTGACAGTGAGCGCAAGCGTGAGTGCGAGGGCAAGTTTGAGGGTGAGTGCGAGCGCGAGTATGTTTGTGAGTGCGAGGTGCAAGGGAGCTGGTGTGAGTGCAAGCGGGAGTGCGAGAGTGCGAGAGTGTGTATGGTAGGTTGAGAAGATGATTGCACGTGTTTGTGTGTGTGTTTCTGTGATTGTCGAAGAAGATTTGAGAGTTTATGTGTGTGATTGAAGAGTAAGTGCAAGAGAGTGTGAGGGTGAGAACAGTGGTGATTGTCGGTGTGAGTGCGAGAGTGAGGTGAGGGTGATTGTGAAGGTGCCTGCGTCAGTGTGTGCGAGAGCTAGTGGGAGAGTGAACGCGAGTGTGAGTGCGAGGGCGAATGTGAGCGTGAGTGTGGGTGTGAGTGTGAG